GTAACAAAAATACATACACGTAGAAATACGTGCATTTTTTAATTATAAATTACTAGCGTGAGCCGCTAGCGAGCCCTTGGTTCGTTTGGGTTCGTCCCTAGGTACATTTTAACGGTTAGTATGGGTGGAATAGATAGACTATATATTATATTACTGCTCCGCTCCCTTGGGTAGTCGCATGATGATATATAGCCTTAAAGCCTTCCTCAGTAAACGGGCTATCTAATGCAAAAGGAATTTTTCAAATCGGATTAGTAGTTCCTGAGATTAGCGCGTTCAAACAAACAAACTCCGCCGATTAGTATAGATAATAGTCAAGCAATTTTTTTAATTTAACATATTGGAACCTTTTTCACTTAAAATGAGGCTTTGATCTAAAGAAAACAGAATGCTGCATTTAATACCATAAATATATTACAATGACTTAAATTTACGCAAATAGTAACATAGATTTTTTCGCGGATTTATTTCAATTTTTGGTTTCCGAGAGACTTTCTCATGGCCATGATTGCATGATTGGTAAAGCATTCGAAATGTCGGGAAGCAAAACATAAACACAATGTATTATTAATTAAACAAAAATATTGTAAAAACATAATTACTCAGTGATTTTCAAAAACGCACCAATTTCATTGGTTAAATACAATATTATAATATTTAAAAAGACCATCTAGTGAACAATGAACACGCAGTGTGGTTACTTAAATCTAAATTGGACGAGAAACAAGAAAACCTGTAGTAATATTTCATTATGATGACCATCGAACTTGGCGGATAATTTGCTGTGCCCCCAAAATATATAGATTTAACTATACTTTTGTTCTACACACTTTTTAATTTTAGCATAATAATTAATATTATGATTTTACTCTTCTTCATTTATCATCATATTTAATAATTACATATTTTTTAAAATAAAACGATACACCAAAAAACTTGTACACAGAGAATAACACTTTCTTCAAATTGGTTAATAATTAATTTGTTTAATTTCGCGAGATATGTTTTGTAAGTTTTCTTACACATTCAATATCTTTAACACATGAAGGTAAAAGAGCGTGAAGATAATAAAAAAAAGTCGTTTGGAAAGAATTAAAAAGACTTCATAAAGCAAAAATAAAATGATTTTCGAAGTAAAAAAATGGGATGAAGCATAAAAAATAAAAGAAATAAAAATTAAAATATTCATTTATTTAATGCTAGTCTTTCTATACTTATAATACATACAATCACATTCAATAGAAATACGTTAGCGACGTTCTCTTATTTTGTATACAAAAAAAATTGTAAATAAAATACTTTTCAGTATAAATTGATATACTACAAGCAGATGAACATTAACTGATGTCAAAAAATGTTTAAAGGTCAAACAGTATTAAAAAAAAGAGTATTATATATTTTTTTAATACTGTGTTTCAGTATTTAATTTGTTATTTTTTACACTAGATATTATTCAAAATAAAAAAATAACAAATGAAGCTGATAAGAAATTCAAAATTTAATATCGTCGCTTACATTTACTTTAACCGACTTTACGGAAAATATATTATAACATTTAATATGACATTACAACATGCATATTACTGTCACAAATAAAAAAATATTAGTAACCAAAAAATACGCTTATGTTAAGTTAAAAAATACACCTTGATTATTTTTTAATATATTTCATCTGTATCTTTGAAAATAACCAAAAATGGACGATTGTGGAGTTTTTAAATATATGATAATATTATACAGAATGTTTATGTTCATGTTAGGTTTGAAAATGAGAACTATTTATTGTTAATCTACAATTATAACACGCTGTAAAATAAAAAGTTAGCAGGCCACCGTTTACAATTTTATGGCATCAGCTTAGGTATTTAGAATACTTTATATATAATAAAAATAACCTTTTAAAAAAATATAAATCAAAATAAAACCTAATTTATCACACAAATTTAATATAGCCGCCAAATCCGTTTAAATGATGCCATTAAATTAACTATGCCATTATGCTATTACTGTCACAAATAAAAAAATATTAGTAAGCAAAAAATACGCTTATGTTAAGTTAAAAATACACCTTGCTTATTTTTTTTAAATATTTCATCTGTATCTTTGAAAATAACCAAAAATGGACGATTGTGGAGTTTTTAAATATATGATAATATTATACAGACTGTTTATGTTAATGTTAGGTTTTAAAATGAGAACTATTTAATTTATTGTTAATCTATAATTATTATAACACGCTGTGAAATAAAAAGTTAGCAAGCCACAGTTTACAATTTTATGACATCTGCTAAGGTATTTAGAATACTTTATATATATCATAATAAAAATAACCTTTTAAAAAAATATAAATCAAAATAAAACCTAATTTATCACACAAATTTAATATAGCCGCCAAATCCGTTTAAATGTTGCCATTTAATTAACTAAAACGTAGTAAAAGCCATATTTAACTAATTTTGGTTATAACGACAAAAAAAACACCAGTATTATAAAAATGCTAGTCCACATTCAAACAATCTTATGTCTACAACAAGTTTATGATTACGTCCCACGAAATCATTTAAATGAATCACTATGTATATATTAGTTGAGGTTTGGTGAGGCTTGAATATGGCTAGAAATGTTAAGTCCATTTTTACTATGACAGATTTATTGGAACAAATTTCCTTAACGCGGGTTGCGGTAGTAGACATGTTCTCCCCCCCCCCCCCCCCCAACGTGCGTTCACCTTGTCGTGGTGGGGGGGCTCAGTAGTGCCCGGCAACCCAACCGGGCGCGAAGCCAAGAAACGCACAGGGAGGTGGCCCACTTCGGTGGGAGGTGGCCCACTTCGCAGGGCGGTGTACCATGCGGGTTGCTCCTGGTACTTCTCTGATAGCAGAATGGACCTTGAAGCAACCCCGTGGTTGTTGTGGTCTGCTTCCGCAGACCTGCCGTCGGGACGTCGTAGTTGAATGCGTGAGTGATCCTGCGATGCCCCATTAAGACGGGGGAAGGCTTTGTTGGGTTTTAGTGGGTAGTACTGGATTTGCCGGTGAGTCCCACACCTCGTGCGTAAATGCATTTCCCAACGTTAAAAAAAAAGTAGACATGTTCTCCCCATCCTGCGTTCACCTTGTCATGGTGGGGGAAGGGGTTCCCGGTTGTGCTCATCAATCAGCCGGGCGCGAAGCTAAGAAACGCACTTGGAGGCGGCCCACTTCGGTGGGCGGTGTGCCATGCGTGTTGCTCCTGGTACTTCTCTGATAGCAGAGTGGACCGTGAAGCAACCCCATGGTTGTTCTGGTCTGCTTCGGCAGACCTACCGTCGGGGCGTCGTAGTTGAGTGCATAAGCGATCTCGCAATGTCACATTTCGACAGGGGAGGTTCCGTTGAGTTTGAGCGGGTAAGTAGCTTAGCAAGTGAGTCCCATGTCTCGTGCGTAAATGCTTTTTCCAACGTTAAAAAAAGAAGTAGACAGATAGAAATCGTAACATAACAAAAAAGCGTTACGAGACGTTCAGTTCCGTCCGGCGTAGTTCGGATGTTATCGTCAAGCGCTAAATGCCAAACTTATTTACATCACATGTTAGTTAAATGTGCTCGATGGTATATTCCCGTTAAATATTTTTTTGCAGAAACTAACAGTTTTATTAATTACATTATCTGATTATTGGAATTTTGTAATGGAGATTTAAGAAAATGGAAACTGCAACAATTATGTGAAACAAAAACATAGAAAAGTAAGTCAATAAAATTTTATATTTTGATAGAAGTATATACTGCTTACATATGTTTAATGTGTGTTCATTATTTACTATGTATATACATTTAAGTTATGTGCCTCTAAGGGTTCCCATGTTACATATCCGTAGATTGTGACTATAGATACTTTATATCAAACTAGCGACTCACCCTCGCTTCGATTGGGTTCGTCCCTAACTTGCTTTCCAATATAAACTTTTACCCCTTTTAGGAATGATAATAGGGATAAAAAGTATCCTATGTCCTTCCCAGGGTCTCTAACTATCTTTTTAGCAAATTTCATCTAAATAGGTTCAGCTGATCCAGAGATTACCCCCTACAAAATCACAAACTCTCAAACTTTACCTCTTTATAATATTAGTATAGATTACATTCGGAATTGAAGAATAGGCGTAAAGAACTTCTTTTCCGACGACTTATATAATTTTTTCTATTAAAATGATAGATTTAAAAAAAAAAACGATTTCTTGGACATTTATTAACTTGCTTAAATGTGAAAAAATATGAAAATATCACATGTTTGGTATCAAAAAAAGCCCTTCCTATGTTTAGGAAGAAATTACACCATTTTTTTTCAAATTTTAACATTTTTGTTCATTTTTTTTTAAATGCATATTCAAGCGTCACCATCACATATTGTCCTATAATCCTATACTAAGCTATGTATATTAAAGCATCGCAATAATTACGTCGAGTCGAAATTCTACATATGTCGATCAAAAATATAAAATTGTGTACACAAAAGAAATACACATATATATGTAACTATACGGTCTGTCTGTCCGTGTGTTTGAAATATATTAAGCGATATCATTTTAAAAACAAAATTTTGTAAGCACAATCGATTCATCTATATTTTTTTTAAATATATTTTTATAATTTTTCATAGTGAAGTTTTTGAGTTTTTTTTGGTACTTCTAAGTTTAAGCCGGTTATTCAAACTACTGATATTTAATTTGAAATTGGATTGTATGAATTATGTGTTTTTCAACATTTTTAATAGTTCAAAAAGAAAAAGTAATATATACATACATACATATACAGATAAAACATTTCGAAAAACCGAAACAAAAAAATCTAAATATTCATTAAAATACAATCGAAATTCAGCCTTTTCAATTGAACCAAAAAAGTAGCAAAGGACCACAAATATTCATCCAAACAAAAAATATTGCCAAAAAAATTCGACTTTTTTTAAATTTGTATACAATACAATAAATACAGATTATATACAATTATTATATGTAAATATTTATATAATATTACAGCATCTACAATACCTAGGTCGGACCCCGCCGCCGGTGACAGGGGGAGTTACGGGCGCAAAGTACGCATGTACGCGAATGTTTGGGAGATGGTTCTAGGACAAACGTATAAATAATAATTTTATATTATAGATATTATATAAAAAAAACAAAAAAGTCTTATATAACATAAAAAGCAATTAATTTCAATTTATAAAAAAACATATAAGTATTTTTCGCAGATAAAAATTAACGTCTTTTATTTCAAACATGAAAAAAAATCAATAGTATAATTGCAAAAGCAATATGTACATTAAAACACTATATTTTATAGAAAAAAGTAAATACAAAAAATCCAGAAAAAAAACAAGATAATCCGCACTCACCCTTAACTTCCTTATAGCATTCCTAGTGACCATCTGACAGTCGTACAGCTCTATGCGCTGCAGGTTGTGGCACGAGATAAGGTGTTCGAGCGCACCGTCCGTCACTAAGGGGCAGTTGTCGAGGCCTAAAGATTGATAAATATTAAAAAACGTATGTGTGTACTTATGTACGCACGTAAGAAGTTATACTTCTTTGGCGTAACAGAACAAAAATAGCTAAAGATTTCATCCCGTATGTCACAACTCTGTTTGTAAAAGGAATGCATAACTTCATCATGTCGCTTTTTGGCTGCCGGTGTGCGTGCGTATCGTAAAAATTTTAATCTCATAATTTTTTCCAAACGTGCCAAAATGGCCTAAGAGCCTGTGAACGCCAGACCTTCGTCATTTTATAAAAGCTGAAAGTTTGTCAGCGCATGCTCCCAACACAGATAAGAACGATGGACCATTATGAAGTTCAGGCTATGGTGGCATTGGCAGGTACAGGATCTAAATTCGTCAAATAATAAAGTGTGATTTTTTGGTATTAATGAATATCAAAAAACAATCTAGAAACATTTAGGAAAATCCGCCTCAGTCGTGCGAGCACGCACTCACACACGCAAGCACGTACGCACATACACAGATACGAAAGTTATGCGTTTGTGTGTGTGTTTATAATAAATTCATTACATTAAAATGACACACGCAAACGATGAATGTTTCAACTCACCGAGCACTGTGAGATGTTCCGCAGCGCACGGCGACATCGACAGCTGCTTTATACCATAGTCCGTTATTAATTCACAGTGGGACAAGGTCTGAAAAATTTTTAATTGATTTTTTTTTATGAATAAGTAATTACCTCCTTAAAATCTCAGGATGCCGGCTGGCATAGCACAAGCTCACGCACAACGAGCAAAAAAGTGCGAGAAAAGCCGTGCAAGATGAAGGCAACTCCTTCTTTCCTTTGTTTATAAAATTGTATATTTTTTTAAATGCAGTGTTATTTATTGTTAAATATCTACAAATATATCCTTTTGACCTATTTTGGTCACTGTGGGAAACTTTCTGAAAAAGAGATATTATAGTACAGAGCGAGAGATATTATAGTAGAGAGAGCATACACAAAACGTGCACTCTCAACCATAAATCTCAGATTTAGATACTGGCTTATTAAGGCTTGAGTACCTCTTCTTTTTCAAATACGTTGTCGTTGTTCATAGACATAACATACAAAATAGCTAGACTATTTTTCGAAAGACACGTGAAATCCGCCAGCGTGGTGGACTTTGACTGGTTGGACTGTGGATCCCTCTATATACCGTGGCTTGATCCCTGTCATTGAAGGGAGGTCCGCGCCCAGCAGTGGGACGTTAAAAAGGGCTGAATATATCATTTCTTACCAATTTTTCAAGGCGAGGGCACCCCATGGCGAGGTGCACGAGTGTCGCGTCCGTGATGAGAACACACTCCTCCAAGTCCATACGCTCTAACATTCTACAACTCTGAAAATATAAAAAGAAAATACATAAAAATAGTAAACATTTAATATCTTAGGGGCCATTCACTCCATGTTTTATATTATATGCCGTGCATGCGGTGACGTACATATTATGTACATCTCGCGACAAGGATAAAACGTCTGTGTCTCTGACTACATAATACTTTGTTCCTTCGTGAACTTGTTTTTAACTAAAAATAGTTAGCTTTTATGTAGTCGGGTTTTTTATTTTTATAATAATTTTTTTTATTTACAGCTTTTTAGCTTTCGCCAATTAGATATTTCAAATTATATTTACCAATTTCTTATCCTAAATTACTTTCAAACCTGTAAGTTGTTCATATTTTTGTGATAGTCGCTTAAAAGCCTTTATTTTGATACCCCACTCGATTGGTTTGGAAGATTTTTTAAAGACACCCAAATTGACGCCTGAAATCCGTCATTTTATTTTTTAACTAATTTCATATAGCCTATGACATTCGCCTCATCAAGACAAATCCAACGGCGTACGAATCAACCAAATCCGCTCACGCATTTGGTTACTATAACACTACATAGGAACAAACATACATTCATACATCGATAAACACATTACCCTCCTTTGCGTCGCGCAGTCGGGTAAAAAAGTTGTGTCTACTTACAAACTTATGTATGCACGTCACTTATGCACCTAAAGCTAGCGGCCAAGTAACATCCGCCCACCTGACGAATTAAACAAAGGGCCATAACGGTATCGCGGCGTCAAAAACACATGTTATAAAAATAAATACGCTACAGATGCAATTAAATGTGACTTTTTAGTAATTTTAAATACAATAATAGAAATTTTTAGCCCTTTATTAGGGTTCCGTACCCAAAGGGTAAAACGGGACCCTATTACTAAAACTGCGCTGTCTGTCCGTCTGTCACCAGGCTGTATCTCCTAAACCGTGATAGACAATTGAAATTTTTACAGATGATGTATTTCTGTTGCCACTATAACAACAAATACTATTTTTTCTTTAGTATTTGTTTTTATAGATAATGGTACGGAACCATTCGTGCGCGAGTCTGATTCGAACTTGGCCGGTTTTTATACGTAATTAACCAATTTTTAAATTCAATAATGTACGGACATGTGTCCGTGCTAAGCGTAAAGGGTAATTTAAGTCTAGAAAAAAATAGAAAGCATGCTTGGATCACGCTGAGTTTTTTATTGAAGTTTCCTATAATATAGATACATTAAATCAAACAAATCTTGCAGAATCACTCAGTACAAATGTCGAAAAAAAAACATTAATGCCATTGAGCGCGTAATGCGTAATGATTGTAAAACCGACATTGAAAACCATGAAAACTATAGAAAGCAAACTCGGAGCTTTTTGATTTTATTATATAAAATAAATAAATTAAAATATTTTATTTGCATAAAGAGATATATATTATTATACTTATATAAACTCACACAAAACCGTTTGAATTAGACAGGGTTAAGCTATAGTTTATTTTTATTTTAATTCAAACTTCTATAGATAGGTTTGGATGAGCAGTAAACTAATGTAAGTCGTCATAGACATAGTCACGTGACGTGTTAACGCTAACCAGATAAATGTAAACAGTTTTAATTTACAAATTTTAATATAAAATCAAACAATTAATTTGAATATCCGAAAATAACAACTGTTTGTTTATAGTTTCAAGTTTTCACTTCTGTCGGCAGCCCTCATGACTTCTTTTTATAATATTTTTTTAAATATTGCCTTCTAGCGCGTACTCATACTAAGATTTAAACGTATAAAATACGAGAAAGCAAACTCAGATTATGTTGATATTTTTATTATATATTCTTATAATACCAAGTAATTCGAAACTATTTAAATCCCGTAAAATCAAGACAGAATAATTGTAAAAAAATGTCGAATGTCCTCGTAATAGCGAATACTAGTGTCTATAAAAATTTAAAGTCCATGAAAACGACAGATAGAAAACTGGGAGTTGATAGATTTTTTATATGCTATATATTTCAGTATAATCGAACACTGAGAAGTACGTCAAATTTAACTTGCAAGATTTGATTACACACAGACACCGGGAGAGATGAAACTAAATAAAAGCTTGTAATATTTTTTATATTTATCGATATATAACAGTGTTGTGTGAGAAATACCGGAATAAATATCTTGAACATAGACATCACACTATAGTCAAGGGAGATTTAACGACTAACTTCATACTGTATAAATCTGTTGCATGGTGAAAAATTCAACTCTCATCATTTTTTTTCCTGAAAACAACGACAAAAAAGTGTACCTTGAAAAAAAACTCAGACTCGCCCACCGAGTGTTCCGTACAAATTTGTAGGTAATCTGTTTAACGTTAATTTTCATTTTTTTTTGGAATTTTTCCTTTATTTGTGCTTGCTTACCTTGCTTATTGCCAAATTCCGTGATTCTAGGTCAACGGGAACTACCATATAGGTTTTCGACCCAAAATCTAGAGGGTATTTCCGGTTGACCTAGAATTGTCAATTTTAGTTAAAAGCAAGTAAAGGGAAAATTCCGGAAAATAAAAGAAAAGTTGAAAATTAACGTGAATTTTGGTACTTACAAGTCTAAATTTGCCCATATCTTTTTATCGTGTCGACTAAGGAAGGACCTTAATTTTTATACACCCAATAGGGACTAATAGACCACAGTATCTGGTATAAATAACTTTCAACTTGCTAGGTCCACCCGTTCCTGAGAAAATGCGTGGTGACACAAGAGAGTGATCTTATAAGGGTACCTTTTTTACCTTTTAAGGTACGGAACCCTAAAAAAGACACTTCACAAAAACACACAAAAGCAAAACCCCCTCACCCTGGCGAGAGCCTGGAAGCCGGCGTCGGTGAGGTGCGCGCACTGCGACAGCTCCAGCGTGACGAGGTCCGGGCAGCGCGCCGCGAGCGCCGCCAGCGCCGCGTCCGTCAGCCGCGCGCAGCCCGACACGCACAGGCGACGCATCGCGCCGCCAAGCTTTGATATCGACTCGTCGGTTAGATTCTGGAAACACGAGTGTTTGTTTGTAGTACACATGTATCACCATCTAGTCACGTTCAATGATTAGCGTAAAGTGTACATGTAACGCCATCTAGTGATATGTGAATGGGTGCGTACGAGTGAATGAGTGTGAGCGTAAGAATGATTCCTTGTAGTATGTGTACGAGTGCTTACGTGTGCGTACTAGTGAGAGTGTGTGAGTGGTGAGTGTGTGCGTACGAATGTGCACGTGTGCGTGTCGCACACGGACATATAAGAGATGTACTCACATCACAACCTTGCACATTGAGTACTTCTAGATCTGGGCAGTACGTCGCGAGACATGACACTGCCTTGTCGTTCACATTTTTACATCCTGAAAACAAAAATAAAATATTTTTTTTAATAAAAAAACATACTAAATCTTCTAAAAATAAATAATGTCCCAACATATTTATTTTATTTATTTAAATATTCCACCATTACGAGTGGAATTACTTCTTCAAATTAAAAAGAAATGATAATCATTTCACACTTGGCGAGATATCACGTAACGTACATGCATACGAAAAACCTACACACGAATTCAATTAAATAAAAAGATTGTTTTCTTTTATTATCTGAATGCATTTATTCAAATTTTTGGTTCCCGACGTCTAGAATGTTTACAGCAATCATGGTCACGGGAGAGACTAAGATTTAAGACGACTCAAAAATCTCCAATCTACCCACAAAATTATAAAGTACTGTATATCTATATCTATACTTATATTATAAGGAGGTAAAGTTTGCGAGTTTGTGACGTTGTAGGTGAAAATCTCTGGATCTACTGAACCAATTTAAATGAAATTTGGTAAGAGGATAGTTTGAGACCCTGGGAAGGACATAGGATACTTTTTATACCGGAAATCATCCCTTAAGAGAATGAAAATTGGGATGAAAGTTTGCATGGGGAATCGACGTAGGGACGAAAACAAGTGAAGCGAGGGTGAGTCGCTAGTAATTTATAAACCCACATAAAAATCCGAAAACATTAGTTTTTATTTAAAATTTGATTTTGACGGGACTCTCGCTGGCAGACAGCTGGTGTCATAAGGAGTAACTTAGGCTACTTTTATTTCAGAAAAGAATCAGAATCCCGATCAATAAAATTAAAACATACCTAGGGACGAACCCGAGCAAAGCGAGGTAAGTCACTTGTACAGAAAAAAGTACACGAGCGAAGCAGCGGGTGAAAGTTAGAAAATTATATATAAATACCTCTGCAAATAAAGCTCTTTAGTTTAGGGCAGCCCCGGGCCAGGGCTTCGACGCCATTCTCTGTAATCGACTGACACCATGACACATTTACATGTGTCAAAAGCTGGAATTAAAAAATAAAATTAAGAATAAATTCTCTAATATGATAGTACTGAAGAATAATTACACTGTGGCCTTATTAAAAGCGTTTATTTAACCATTTTTTTGCAACTGCAATGTATGAACTATGTTCGGGTGGAATCTTGCAACTCAATTTAAAGCAGATATCCTTAACCGATTGTGCTGAACTTTGGTATACACGTTTAGTTTGGATGACAATGCATAGTGAGCTGAGTGACGTCATTTTAAATACAATATGGCGGGTTCCTAAAGATGGCGGAAGAATTTTTTTTTATGCACCCTCATGATATGGATATCAGATGAAAGGGTTTTATGAGAAGAATACGAATAAATAAAAACTACAAATTAAAAAATAACCTCACGACAAGCTTTTATATCATATAAATCGTGTAATGTAATAAATTGTTGGGTTTGATTTAATTTAAAGTTTATTTTTTTCTTTTTAAAACATTTGCTTAAATAAAAGCTTTAAAAATATTTTTTTACGATAATTTTTTTTATATGTAAATCATAGTGTATATAGTGTTAAAATGGACTTCCAAGACTTCATGAAATACTCAGTAATAAAAGTGTGTTGAAAACACTCACCGGACATCCGTCTGACAATGCTTTTAGTGATATGTCCGATATGCTAGGACAAGAGTCGAGGTTTATCCTGAAAAAAGTTAATTGAAAAAATTTTTATTAACATGTTCAAGATATATAAAAATGTATTAAGATTTTTCTTAAATAAAAGTAGCAAGTTACTCCTTATAACATCAGTTATCTGCCAATGAAAGTCTCGTCATAATCGGTCCAGCCGTTTCGGAGACTAGCCGGAACCGACAGACAAACAAAAAAAATATTTTTTTTTATTATAAATACCTTATATACTTTAATATGCATTTGGTAAAAAGCTGTCATTTTGACATTACAAAGAGACATTTCAATTTTATTTATCTGTGTAGATATATAAACATACATACTTTTGAAGCTTGCCACATTTCCTGCCGAGGGCCTGACAGGCTTGGTCGGTTAACTTCTTACATTTATTCAAGTTCAAATCTTCTATGTTTGGACATGACTGTAAAAAAAAATATATGTATGTATGTGTAATTAATAATATTTGAGGCAAAAATTGATATAAATTTTTTTCACTAGCGACTGGCCTTCGCTCCGCTTGAGTTCGACCTAGTTAAGTTTTAACGGTCAGTATATATTATTCAGAGATGAGATATTTTCCCGCAGTATAAAGTATCCTATGTGTTGACCCGGATAACCAGCTATCACCATACCAAATTTCATCAAAATCCCTCCAGTGGGTTTTCCGTGATGCGGTCACAGACAGACAAGACACAGACAGACAGGCAGACAAAATTCTAAAAACTATAGATTCGGCCTCTGTATCGATAATGTTTATTTCAATAAGATTTTCCTTAAAAAAATTAATGTACAAATAATGCTTAGTTACAATTTTATTACATGTATATACAGACTTCATATTCTACAGTTAGATCCCTAAGTGCGAAACAATAGCTTATGTGTTACTCCAGCTCATAGTCTATCTGTGTACTGGATTTTATCCAAATCTGTTCAGCCAGTTTAGCGTGAAGGAGTAACAAATAAACAAACAAACAAACATACATACACACAAACTTTCGCAATTATAATAGTAGATACAGCTACAAAGGATAGTGGATCTCGTAGCAATTGGGGATGGCAATTGGCATTCACCCCATCTGTATCATAGTAATGTCAAATAAGCAAGAGCTTCCTATCCTCCACTCCTGTCTTCAAATTTTAAGTATGTTATAGTAAGCATTAAGCTATTGTTTATATATACATATACATAAATTAAAAAAAATACAAATAAACCAACAAAATATTTTTAACTTTAAAAACTCTCTGCGTCATTGACAGACAGCTAGTATAAGTATAATAAAATTGTAACTAAGCATAATCTGTACATTTAATATTTTTTGGAAAATCTTTTTGAAATGAATAATATTATCGGTACAGAGGCCTAATCTATAGTTTTTAGAATTTTTGTCTGTCTGTCTGTTACCGCATCACAGAAAAACCACTGGAGGGATTTTGATGAAATTTGGTATGATGATAGCTGGTTATCTGGGTCAACATATAGGATACTTTTTACCCCGGGAAAATGTCTAATTTCTGAGAAAAAATACAAAAACTATAATGTAGGAGTATACTAATATGTAAAACCTAAGAGTTCGGTTTTTAGTCATTTGAACGCGGACGGAGCCGCGAGCAATGCTATCTAGTATAAGTATCTCTCACTTTTTGAGTAAGAAAATAACAGATTACATTCTATCCGAGTTCAATGAATCTCAGGGGATAAATCTTTACATTAGCCTACTTATACAAAAATACTTTTTCAGATTTACGCGAATACCTATTTGACATTTTAAATAAAACTATCTTTTCGGATTTTTTCGCGGATTTATTTTGATTTTTGGTCCCCGACGTTTCGAATGCTTTACAGCAATTACGGTAACGGGAGAGACTAAGGTTGTAAACGTCTCAAAGGTCTATACCTAGTATATGTATGGGTATGTGCTGTCTGTAACAACTATTTGTTACAGACAGCACATACCCACAAAATCATACAATGATTTTCAAAATTACAAAATTGGTAAAAAAGAACCTAACAATATTTGTATTTTTTAATTTTAATCAATATTTATAATTTCAATAAGTTCTATAGTTGAATATTTAATATTCGATTCTAATATACAAAATCCGAAAAGATAGTTTTAATTAAAACTACTTATACAAATTAAAAAAAAGTACCTGCGCTAAAGTCTTTATAGACCCATCCGCGATACTCTCACATCCTCTCAGCGAGAGCTGTCGAAGAAAACCTCCGCATCTTTGCGATATATTCTCTATTACTGGTCCCTGGAAAAAAAAATTAACTTGGTTTTAGATACTTATAATTATTTCTTACCGATTTTAAAAATCGGTGTGCTTTAAATTTTAATTTGTATCGGCTGGCACCGACTTCGAAAATATCTGATTAAGTATCTATTCTAAATGAAAACCCCCGTTTAGTTATTTTTTACCTTTTAGTGCCTGGACATCGGTTTTTACTTTTTTTTAACTTTTAATTTTTTCATTTTTAGTGTAGACGTAATAACCAGGTAATTTGAAAGAAGAATTTTTTTTTATAACACACTCGACTAAGTCATTTATTTAAAAATAATTTACTATTGATTTTTTTAAAATCGCTCGACCAATTTCGAAAAAAATTAAATGGGACTACTTGGGAAATATTGAAACAAAAATAGATTTTTTTTCAAATCGGTTCAAGCGTCTTCGAATAAGTGGTTAACATACATGAAAACATAAGATTCCAACGAATTGAGAACCTTTTTTCCTCCTTTTTAAGAAGTCGATTGATAAGTTACCAATGAACAAAGTAAATTGTTATCGCTAGCAAATAACTGCAGAGTATTTTTTTTTCTGTAATAATAAAATTAGAATACACAGTTTATTAGACAGTGGTAGCCCAGTGGTAACGGGTTTGCTTGTGTGACCGAGTGAAGCGGGTTCAAATCCCGGGTGTCGCACCTCTGATATTTTCATGTGTCATTTTTGAATGAACCTAGCAAGTTTTCAAAAGACATGCTCTGTCCGCCCGCACATGACCAGCGCGGTGGACTTATGTACACTGATTATATAATGGGACATGGTTACCTCTACATCTCGCTGGAAGTTAAACAAATCTATCCTCTGCCAGTTCGAGCCATCGAGAGCGAGAATGTTCCATAATTTTGAGACCTACAGAAAAAAAAAACCATAAATATACATGAATCTTATTAATGAATGTCTCTGTAAATATCAATTCACTAACTTTAAAATATTTCTTGTTACCTTGCACATCTATACATATAATATAAGTGTAACTGATTGCTGTCTGTACATGGAAAGAATTTGAGAAAAACTATTATTAGAGGTCTTTACTAACGCAATACAACCCAAAACAATGATCTTTAAATTATTTGTCTGTTCGTCTATGCATTTGTGCACGCTAATCTCAGAAACGGCTTAACTGATTTGGGTGCGGTTTTCATTAATGTATATGCTTCTCTTAACGTGATACATATGTGATCAACTGGCACGCTTTGATACCGTTAATAAGAAAATTGAGCTATATTGAATCATATGTAATAATGTAGTAATTTATTTGGTATTAGCATTGCCCGCGGCTCCGCCCGCGTTCAGATGACAAAAAACCAAATTCTTAAGTTTTACATATTAGTATACTCTTACATTGCAGTTTTTGAAATTTTTTTTGTATTTTTTCTCAGTTATGGGTTATTTTCCCCAAGTAAAAAGTAAGTATCCTATATGTTGACCCGGATAACCAGCCATCACCATACCAAATTTCATCAAAATCCCTCCGGTAGTTTTTCCGTGATGCGGTAACAGATAGACTGATAGACAGACAGACAAAAATTCTAAAAACTATAGATTCGGCCTCTGAATCGATAATTATGTTTATTTCAATAAGATTTTCCAAAAAATATCTAATGTACAGATTCAGCTTAGTTACAGTTTTATTATATGTATAGGTAGAGTAATGCAGCATTATAAATATAAACCTCAGTGTTTTATCTTATATTTATATTTAAAAAAACGTGTATGTGTACTGTGTACTTATGTATGTACGTAAGAAGTTATACTTCTTTGGCATAACAGAATAAAAATATATAAAGATATCATCCCGTATGTCACAACTCTCTGTTTGTTTTTGGCTGTCGGTGTGCGCGCATCGTAACAATTTTACTCTCATATTTTTCCCAAACGTGGTAAAAGAAGTATAACTTCAACAGATGTACAACTTTTAACTAATAATAAAGGAAAAAAGAACATCTAATTCTATAGATCCTGAGTTTGGTGATTGAATAACTGTTTCTCACCTGAGCACATCGGCATAGCGAAACCACATCTAAATAAGATAATATCCTCAGCAGCAACTCCTTTGGCAGCTTTTTATTTATATGATTCTCGTCTTCATTGGAAAATCGAGAAATCTGGAAAAGAAAACAACATGGTTAATTTTGGATATGTATCGGTAGAAAATATTTATTGCTTGTTACATATTAGGTATAAAAATTTTTGTTTTTAAATATTGCTAAGATGTGTACTGTGGGTAATAGCTTTATAACCTAACTTATACTATGAATAACTCATTCTCATACAATATTAAAAATGTTACTAATAGAAACACTTGAGAGGTTAAATTGTTTCTTCATAGTATGGAACAAGTTAGAATTTTTGATCTTTCTGGTGAGCACAACTACAAAGTATTAATAATAAAAAATAAAATATTTTTCTAACATTCTGTATAATCTAAATAATAGAAAAGAAATAAATTATAAAATAAAGAATGGACATGTCTTAAGGAGGCTATATTATGTCAAAAAACAGTTTTAATTTCAAATAAAAACAATTACAAGAAATGAAATTAAAAATTTAAAAAACAACACAATAACCCATCAATGAGGCCATTTCATGATATATCTGCAGTATTTTAGTAAAGAGTTAAAAATATCTTGCAGATTCAGATCATCAGATCTTGCAGGTGACACTGCAGAATCAGGTCAAGGAAACGATATGGTAGCCTTGCCGTGATGCTGCAATGTCATCGATGATTGAAGTAACCTAAGGGATACCAAGTTTCGGATCGATTAGACCTGTGGAAGTTGCTCATATGCTTTTACTATCGAAAAAAGAGCTAATCGCCTGTTAACGGCTGAACAGATTTTCTTTATTAATAGCTAAGGACACTTTCGATAAAGTCACCTTTCAAACAAAACAAACTAAGTTAAAATCGGTTCGTCCGTTTCGATGCTACGAAGCCACTGACAGACACACATGTAAAACTTGTAACACCCCTCTTTTTGCGTCAGGGGGTTAGAAATTGGACTGAAACTAGCGTTCTCATATCATTGTAATGATGATAATATAGTGTAGAAGGTTTTATGCTTATGTATATAAATATCATTACATTTTAACGATAAAGTTTTTTTTATATAATTTAAAGTTCTATAAAGAATAAAGAACAATTTAATTAGGTGAAATTCTATGAAGATATTTGAAGTTAGAAACAATGAACAATTAAAAAATATACTTTTTAATATAATTATTCTTAAGAAATTAATGATGTAACAAATGTTCGATTTTTCACTTTCGCGAATGCGAATATTCATTTCCAATATTCGCGAATGCGAATATCCATCTATAATATTCGCAAATGCGAATATTTATCTACAATATTCGCAAATGCGAATATCTATCTCCAATATTCGCGAATGCGAATATCCATCTACAATATTCTCGAATGCGAATATTCATCTACAATATTCGCGAATGCGAATACTTACCTCCAATATTCTCAAATGTGTACGTTAATACATATATTTCATTATCTTCAATTCATAGAAAAGAAAATATAAAGTGAAAAAATATATAATTGAAACCAACTGGTTAAATAACATTATGGATATTAGAACTTTAATTTTGTTTAAAGCTGAAATAAAAAAATGTTTTGTTTTCTATAAAAACAAAATATTTTTTTTTATTTTATAAATAAATAAATAAATATTAGTAAAGATGTAAAATATTCGCATAATTTTAAGAAAGCATTAAATAATCATAATTTATTATAATTTATTTACAAATAGTTTCTAGTAGTTTCTCAAGTTCTTTTTTCACAAAAAATATTATCATTTAGAATTCGTATTTTTTAAAATGCAAGGAAGGACATTCATATTGTTTTTTAGTTTGTAATTTTTTTTTATATTTTAATTAGACTAAAAAGAACAAAACAGAAGGTATTACTAATTTAGTTGTCTACCTCAAGACTGTTCCATAATCATTTTTTTAATTTAAATATCATAAGTAAATAAAAAAATATATATCTTACCAGTTGTATTATCATTCATACCCATCCATTGCATATATAATTACGTTTTATTTGTCAAATACATTCGCCAAACATTCGCAATGTTTCTTGAGGTTTTGAACACAAATGGCAAAAAAACCGACTTCAAAAGTACACTAAATAGTAAAAAATAAATGATTGGTAGTTTTTATTTACAATAGATACCTAATCAGATATTTTCAACTTCGGTGTGCTTTGATTTGCATCGACTGGCCCCGACTTCGAAAATATGATTAGGAATTCATTGTAAATGAAAACTACCAATCGGTTTTTTTTTTCTTTTTAGTGTTTTAGAAGTGAGTTTTTTTTAAGTTTTAATTTTTCCATTTTTACTGTAGTCATAGTACTAGTAAAGTAAACAGAAAGTATTTTAATAAAATATTCGCCTAAGCCATTCAAGTTAGTTTGATGCCAATTATTAATGAAGACTCACAAACTAAAATTCATTTTTATTAGTAACACTAAAAAAATCAGACTCTAAAGTCCAATTCTAATGTATAGGGCTTGTCAAATCAAACAAAATAAGGACAAACTCAAAGTATCTACTATTAACTGTTGAAGAGTTCCACTATCCACCTTCTGGTCTTACCATCAGATCAGGTTGATGATACCAAATCATTGCACTATCAACAGAAATACAAACACTTGCAAATTTTCAAGTCAATATGATAATTGGAAGTAAGGTTACATTTTCATTACCTATTTTTCCACCATTAGGGATGGTATTTTTTTTATTTTAAATGGGACTAATCTGGAAGCATACTTTCAAACTAATCAAAAAATATCCAAATCGGTCAATAAATGATGGAGTTCTGAGGTAACAAACATAAAAAAATATGGGCAAATTGGGAACCTCCTCCTTTTTGAAGTCGGTTAAAAAATATGTGAATATTCACAAATGCTAATATATATTACACCACCAATAGAAATTTAAGTATAAATAAATAAAAACTTAAATTAATATTCACAGATAAGTATTAACTGGCAATAAAATTAATTAATTTTTTTATGTAAATTTTATTAAACACTAATATATATATATATATATATATATATATATATATATATATATATATATATATATATATATATAGCAGCTAATTACAGATAAATAAAAACATTATAAATAATAATAATAATTTAATAGCATATTATTGTATACTTACAGACTAAATAATATCTATAATTTCTTTAAAGTATTACACTAAATTATACAATAAAAATATATATTATCTAACACAGAATAACAGTTGCAATTGCAGATAGTTGACACTAATGAACACTTTTAAATTAATTAAAATCAATCATACTAACGAGATCAGAAATAAACATTGTTGAAGATATATTTTCTTTTTTCTTCTAATTTTCAATGACCCAGGCCTCGAAAATTCGCGATTCGCTACATAACGGTAATTAGAGTTGACCGAACTTACTTAGGGTGAGTGAACTTCATTACGACAACTAATTTAGGTATTAATACCCATTTTTAATACGATAGTGCAAACTAACTTAGTGATAAACAAAAGTAATAATGGAAATATTTTATAAATTAATTCAATGGTTTATCATGAAACATTATTTACGTGAACGTTGTAAGTGGTTTGAATAATTTATCGTATGGGTTTTAAAACGCATTAGCGAACAAAGGAATCTCAGTATCGGTACATAATGTCAGCTGTTCTTGATCACATAAAAACACAAACAATGTGTTGACGCAAAGATCGATAGCTTACCTCGAATTTATTCCTTCCGGAATACGTCATACTCGGGAACGGTGTCACCTTAGCCACAGTGTTGACTTTTATTAGCGCCTTTATATTAATATTTAAATAAATAATTTTATGGAAACAAATATGGTGGATTTTTGATTTTTCGCCGACCGACAATGCACGGTGTAGGTACTTCGTTGTTGCACTAGTATACCGTTCTGAAACTATGACGTTTCAGCCATTTTGTTTATCTATTTTTAACTCGACAAAATTAAATAATGTTATAATTATCCATACAAATTATTAGTTACTTATTTAATCAAAAACTAAATAGAATAAATTGTAATATTTATAGCTAATAAAAATGGAATACTTTTTCGTTTCGTCCTATTTCTGAACTGTAATGTTTTGCTAAACTTGTAAAATAAAATTTTCAATGACTTTGACAGATAAATTCGTACAGATATTATATTTTAATGTCAAATATGGCAACTACATTAAAACAATTTCTCATGTAATAATTGTAACAAAATAAAATAAATTCTTTTTACAATAAGGAACCTATTTCTTTTTCGATATATTTTTTCTTGGGTGTATTTAAATTAATTTAAAAAAATGTGTGTAAAACTCAGACCAATAAAAAAGTTTATTGGTCTGAGGTGTAAGAAGACAAAATTTCTAAAAAAATATTTTTATTTCATATCACTCTTATATTTTAGCAACAACAAACGCATATTCTATGATTTTTATCATCAATTCACAAATTCACAAAATTGATTTTGTACTTCACTTCAAAATATAGTTATTAATCTTCATTTGTTTTCTTTGTTTATTTGTTTTCTTATACTATTAGGAAACCAATTTTGAATTTTAAATGAAAGCTTCGGACAAAATCCTTCAGATATATCTTAAAGATGATCTCATATACCTACTAGTCCAGTCATATTATAGGTTTTCCCTCGAAACGAGAGATAATAAACTGAAAACTCGTGTATACCTTTATTTTGGTGTTCTTAAAGTTGTCTCAAAAGTCTCATAAAATCCCGTGTCTCCGTCGTAAGTTATTCAAGGTCAAATGTCACAAAAATCAGTTGTTCGTGATTATCTCGGTTTCTACAGCTCCAATAATGTTAACATTTATAATAAAAATTGTGGAGCATAAAATTGTCGACAAATTTTGTTTTTAAAAATTTTTATAAGCTCAACCGTTTCGAAGATAGAGGGCAGAGAGCCCGCAGCGCTCAGCCATATTCACTGTAATGCTAGGTCAACCGTGAATCTCAGTGAAATTGTATAAAGTTATTAAATCATTATATATATTAATATTTTGCATAATACATCTAATATATTCATTTAATAATACTAAAATACTTAGTGTAATTAAAAACTCATTAGATGAAATACCTAATGTATATCCTAATTTTATGTTAATGTATTAAAAGTACTTAGATTTTAAGTAAAAATAAAACGAGTAAATATATTGTAATTTTATCTATATATTTCTTACAATTTGAATTGAAATAAATTGAAAATATAAAAATCTTTTAAGTATTTAAAGAACAAAAGCATTGGTTTTCTTCTTCTTTTTAAATAAAATTATCTTTTCGGATTTATTGGCGGATTTTTTTTTATTTTTGATTCCAGAAGTTTCGAATGCTTTACAGCAACCATGGTCACGGGAGAGACCTTTTAACCTTAGAATTAAAGTTTTTGAGTTTCTTTTTCTTCATCATCGTCATCTTCTGGGCATGTGAAAATGTCTGTTTCATTGTCATTATCTTCGTTGTCCCGAATAGTTGTTCCAGGCCTTCCAGAATTTCCGGGTCAAATAATCTCTCTTCCTCGGAGTCGCTTAATGATGAAGCAAACTTGTCCATTACTCTGGCAATAAGCTAAAGTGCATTGTAACCCCGATTTTCTTCACCCACAGCTTACACCACATCCATTCTTACAATTACACAATAGTGTATTAAGTAATTCCTCAGGAGCTAGTGGTAATATTGTTATTATTGGGTCTATGAGTTCATTTTGCTGCAACCAACCCCATTACTGGGGTCCTAAATCGTGTTCTAACTATAACAGAGAGTAGTGCTGAACGCTGCGGGCTCTCTACCCTCTATCTCAAAAACGGTTGGGCGTATGAAAAAAATTTTCAGACAAAATTGGTTGCAAATTTTATGTTCTACAATTTTTATAATAAATGTTAATATCATTGGAGCTATATAAACCGAGATAATAGCAAAAAACTGATTTTTGTGATATTTGACCTTGAATAACTTACGGCGCAGACACGGGACTTAATGAGACTTTTGCGACAACTTTTAGAACACCAAAATGAAGCTGTATACGAGTTTACAGCTTATTATCACTCATTCCAAGCAAATAAAGGGTCAACCCTTTATTTTTGCTTAAGTGACTGCACTATATACGTTACTGAGTAAGTACAATAATGTTGATAAGTACCATTTTTTAGCTAATATAATGATTACAATTCCTTTTTAAAAAACCATACACTTGTGAAATGCCAATGACAGATGAACAGTCTATTTAAATCTAATTAAGCTATTTGAAAGTACACTCATATAAAAAATCGTTTAATAAGCCTGTTTAATTGTTACGTATGAATGGATCTGCTATAGGATTATCAACCTTCTCAAACGGATAATACGGATGAGTTTGCCAAAAAGAAGGGAGTGTAAAGCGTTTATGTATATCGAACTTGTTGATTTTTTGAATTTCTTCTGCTGTCAGTTCAAAGTCAAAGATATCGATGTTTTCTTTTAATCGTGAGTATTTTACCGTCTTTGGTATTGGCACTACTTTTCTATCGACCTGTAAAATAAATAAAAATATCTTTTAGCGCATAAAATATATTATATAATTATTAATTATACTATATGTAAATATTATATCATTAATATTATTATATGAAATTCAAATAAAGAGTATAGTAGGTATACTCTTTTTAAGTCTAGCATTTGGTCAAAGATTAAACATTTTTGCTTAATTCATTTATTAACAAGAAAAAAAATTTGTTAGTAGTAAAATGTTTGGTGATCTGATCACATAGTGAAAGAAGTTGCTAAAAGATCATTTAAAAGTATCGGTGGTAAGCTGTAAAGTCACAACTTATGATATTTTTGTGTACATTCTGTGTATGTTTTTCAAACAGTTTAACTACATATATTTAATCAACTGTATCTAGTACAAGCGCGGATCCAGGGGGGGGGGTCATGGGGGTCATGACCCCCCCCCAAAGCCAAATATACTTTTTAGAGAAGTTTGAAGTCTAAGAAAGGAAGGAATAAACGGATAAACATTTCAATTTAAAAAAAAATGGTTATTATATGTATTTTGAAGATTATATTCCCCTAGTTTCAAGAATATCAAAAAGTTTTTCAAGTCACCCCCCAAATAGAAAACTAGATACGCGCCTGGTCTCAATTGTTTAAAAAAATATTTAATGTACAGATTTTGTTGTTACAGTTACTGTTTTACTATATGTATATTTCAGCCTATGACCTCCCCCCCCCAAAATTTAACTCTGGATCCGCCTGATCTAGTACAAAAAAGAAATTAAAGCTGTGAATGTAGTTAGTTCTGTAAAGTGCTGTTGTTAGTTCCAAAAGCAACCACTAGGGAAAATTAATCACACACAATAAAATACAAGACTTACCAGCCATCTTAAAACAATTTGATGAGTTGTTTTCCTATACTTTTTAGCTATCTCCACCAGGATTGGATTATCGACTCTTGGTCCCGGGAAAAGCGTGCCATACCTCATGGCCAATGAACCGAAAGGACTATATCCCATAACCACAATGCCTTCAGATTGAGCATAATCAACTAATTCTGTTTGGATCATTTGAGGATGTACCTAGAACAACCGTTAAAATATGTTTACTATTTCTTATATAAAGGCTGAAATAATTTTAAATAGAAAACGATCAATAGCTTATTATTTTAACAAAAAATAAAATCTCTATCTATAAATTAAACAAAATATCTGATATACCTCTATCTGTAAAGCAACTGGCTTTATATTGCTTTCTTTGATTAATCGTATTAGCTGTTCCTTGTTAAAGTTTGAAACTCCGATACACTTAACGAGACCTAGAAGGACAGCATCCTCCATACCTCGCCAAGTTTCCATAAAATCTGTTTGAGAGTAAGAGTAGTCCTCCTAGACAAGAAATAAAACTTTAATATCAATGCACCAGTTAGAAATGAACTTCCAAGATTTGTTTCCATATATAATTTGTTAAAAGTGCAGCTGAGTGAAATGCTTACATTAAGTCCCATAGGCCAATGCATGAGGTATAAGTCGATATAATTCAGCCCCATCTTGTGTACAGTATCTCTCAACGATTGTACCACTTGTTCTCTTTTATGTAACGTGTTCCACAGCTGAAAATATGCTATTTTAATAAATATTAGGTGTATACGTAAAATATGAGGTATAAACAGTCTTATTTTTTGATTGTGGTGACTTAGAAATTGCATTTTTCAAGCTCTAAGGAATTGCAGATCTTAGTATTTAATATTAATTTCAACTTGAAACCTCCACAGATTTATAGAAGAAACTCTTGAGAGATAGACAGACGGTCAACGAGTTAATCCTGTAAGACTCTTCTTTTTCGTTTTAAGGCACGGAACTCTAAATATTAATCAAATATTTAACCAAACAATGAACAATGACATTGACTGTAGTTAAATAACTGTCCATATTAAATTCCTTTAAATATGTAAAGGTAAGGTAATGTAGAATAACTAGCATTACCCGCGGCTCCGACCGCGTTCAGATGACCAAAAAGTAATATGTTGACCCGGATAACCAGCTATCATCATACAAAATTTCATAAAAGTCCCCCCAGTGGTTTTTCTGTGATGCTGTAACAGACACACAGACGGACAGACAAAAATGCTAAAAACTATAGATTCGAGCTCTATATCGATAATGTTTTTTTCAATTAGATTTTCCAAGAAATATTTAATGTACAGATTCGGCTTAGTTACAATTTTATTATATGTATACGAAATCTTATATTTTTTAACAAAGTTTATGAATGATTATGTACGTTTGTTACTTCTTCGCGCGAAAACTGTAGAATTGACTTAGGTAACATTTAGCACATAAAACATAGACCATGACCAGTGTTAACACACGTGTAAATAATCTACGATATTAAATAGTATCGTTTAAGTGAAATTCAGAAAATGTGTCGGACAAGATATGCAAAATGCGGATGATAAACAAAATGCGAGCGCGCATGCATTTCACGCAACTACTTTTGCCGATTAAAAACAAACGTATTCTGAGAACGTTGCTGATCGTTTGACAGTTATAACGCGAAGAAGCTGTTAAGACAGCATTGCTAGTATAGCGCCCAAAATACTTAAAGAAAAAATAAAAAAACTAGAATTTTTGGCCCACTTTCTGTGTTAAGGATACTATTTAATTTTTATCCATGGAAACAACAAAATTTTCACAGGAGTACAGTCATAGGCAATAACTATATTTATCTTATTACACTATTGTCACCTTAGTAGTAATAAACAAATCCTCTCGCTTTACAACATCCTGCTCTATTTTAAGCCTCACAGCTTCTCCGATTTCTTCTTCCGTGCCGTATATGGATGCTGTGTCAAAATGTCTGTAGCCTATATCTATAGCTTTCATTATAACATCTCGAAGTTGTTTATTCTGGGATTTTACCATGCCGTTCTATAAAATAATGATAAGGATTTTTTTTTATATTACTAAACTAGCTTGCTTCATACAAAATTTTCATCCCCATTCTCACCCCCTTACGGGATGATTTCCGGGACAAAAACTATTTCACTCACTCACTTCTCATATCATGATATTTGAAAAATCTGACTTTAGTAAAAAAAAATCTTTTAATTATCCTTCATACAAAGCTTGTCCTGACAATAACAAACACAAAAAAAATAAGAATTATCCAATTTGGTGCAGACGATAGAAGTTCGATCATTTCGATGATTCATTTTTATTTATATAGATTACAGCATATAAAATAGAATTCAATAATTAAAAGTGTAAACTACTACTTAGTTATATTTATATTAAAAAAAAATAAGGCCCTGTACAAACAATTATGACAAAATAATATTTTAGGACAATTTTTGTCATTTTAATTTATCAAAAACATAAAGAAATGTGTATTAAATAATAAATATCTTCTATATTTAATTCGTCTGTTAATACAAAAATCGATTATGCAAAATTTTAAAATGTATTTTTCGATTACTTTAATTTTAACACACATTTGTCATGTGTGCCATATCACAGATCACACACATATTTTTCTTATAACTTATTTTGCTTAAAAAATAATATACATTGACACTTTATAGTCCGTTATTAATATTAATTTAGCAGCATCATTCATCGATACAAATAGCTGTATTTCTTATATTTATACCCATTGGCGGTCGTAGAATTACTTCCAGGGGGGTGCATCTGCTTCTTGATTCTCCATGTTAAACTACTGACTAATATTTAATTTTTTTTCGCTGATATCTAAATTTGAACAAGGATTTTACTAATATAATCTTATTTTAACTTTCTCTATATATTTTACCCCCGCGCAAGTGCACCCCCATGCACCTTCCTTCCAGCGCCCATGTTCATACCTCATCAAATCCGAGATACGTCCCCAACGCAATCGCAGGCATTTCTTTCCCATTGCTCAATTTATATTTTGGTACATTTGCCAACACCGTGGACATCTAAAAATAATAAATTGTTTTATTAAAAAAATAGATTACTGATTATTAGATAAAATGATTTACTAACATCCCTCATTCCACTGTGGTAGAAAGTCGCGAACAACTTGTGTCTCAAATCGAGAGTATTATTTCCAGAGTCTCCGATTGGGGTCGGGACCATTTAGTCCAATTTAACCCCTCCAAGACACAAGTTTGTGCGTTCACCGCTAAGAAAACCCCATTTACTGTGGCCCCTTAATTCCAGGATACACCCCTAACCATCTCCAACAGTATTGGTATTCTTGGTGTCGACATATCCAGCAACGTCCAGTTCCGAAGTCACATGGAAAACAAGGTCAAGCTGGCATCCAAAAAGCTAGGTGTGCTTAATAGAGCGAAGCGGTACTTCAGGCCGGGACAAAGACTGCTTTTATATAAATCGCAAGTCCGTCCCCATATGGAGTACTGCTCACATCTCTGGGCGGGAGCACCGGCATACCAGCTTGTGCCTTTTTACTCGGCTCAAAGGAGAGCTGTGAGAATTGTCGACGATCCAATACTCACAAGCGATATAGAGCCCCTAAGTCTAAGAAGAGATTTTGCGTCCCTATGTGTGCTCTATCGTTTGTACAATGGGTTGTGTTCCGAAGAATTGTTCGAAATGATGCCTACGGCCACTTTCTATCATTGCACCGCTCGCCATCGATAGCGAGTTCATGCGCACACATTGCAGCCCAAATAGTCCCGTATAGTTCGGTTTCAGAGGAATTTCCTCCCACGGACCATTTCGCTGTGGAATAAACTCCCTGCTGAGGTTTTCCCAGAGGGCTACCGCATGGGGTCCTTCAAAAGGGGAGTCAATAGGTTCTTAAACGGTCGGCAACGCGCATGTAATGCCCCTGGTGTTGCAGGCGCCCATAGGCTGCGGTAACCGCTTACCATCAGGCGGGCCGCATGCCTGATTCCCACCGACGTGGTATAAAAAAAAGGTATTTAAAAATCAGTTTTAGGTTTCTTTCACCATTTTTCATTTTAAATAACAGTTTAGGATTTAAATTGATTTAAAGTGGGTAACGACCATTCTCGCTAATTTTCTTACTTAAAAATATTTAAAAAGCTGTAAATAAATACATATATTATAAAAAAAACCGACTTCATAAAAGCTAATTAAAAATATGAAAACAAATTCACAACGGAATATAGTATTGCAGTCACGGTCACGGCGGAGATTTAATCTGTCCATGATTGCTGTAAAGCTTTCGAAACATAGGGAACCACAAATCAAAATAAATCCACGAAAAAAACCGAAAAGATAAAAAAAGAAGTACAACAAAACTTATCTACTTAAGATGTCAAATATTCGCGTAAATCTAACTAAGGAAGCATTACCTACCTATATTATATATGAGTGTAAGTCAAACATTAATTTAGTTATCTCATAACCCGCCCCAGCTTTATTATTGCGATAACGAGTTTTTTTCTGGTTTTCGGCTAAATTGCAGTTTAAACCGGTTTATTGAAATTTGATATAAGTAGACTTTGATATGATGGAATTATTCACGTTCACGTTTAAACATTTATTAACCGAGTTCAAAATAGGGGGGTTTAAAATTCTTTGAAACCACCCTCGATATCAATATCTTACGCATGTGAAAGATTTTTTCTCTCTTGTTGTCTTAACAATTGTATCTCTCTTCCTATTTTGAAGTTGGTTAAAAAGCAAGTGGTGCAAAGTGTTAAATCGAGTGATATATGAATTTTTACTTACATGAACATAGTCGATATTTGGCATTTTTATAAAATAAATTAGCTTAAAAACTTCGATCACAGAACAAAATATAACAGAAAATAAAAAAAAACTCAATCAAACTCGACTTATTATTAACAAAAACTATATTACATTGAAAGTGTAATCGTTATAAAGTTTACAAATGAACTGAATAGAATGTGAACCTGTTATAAGCCTTTTGTTTTTGTTTATCTTTTGTTTATCTAACATTATATGTTTAACGGTGAGTATATACTCTAGCGGTAAATCGCAGAACTAATTTTAAGCGATAAACTCGCTATTTAGCCTGTGTATCTATACTAATATTATAAAGAGGTAAAGTTTGTGAGTTTGTGAGATTGTTGTAGGGGGAAATTTGCAAAGAAGATTGTTTGAGACCCTGGAAAGGACATAGGATGCTCTTTATCCCGAAAATCATTCCGTAAGGGGATGAAAATCGGGATGAAAGTTCCTGGAGTAATTTATATGAGACTAGTTTTGGTTTTTTTCCTCAAAAATAATAGATTTTTGACCAAGACTAAGTTGACCAAATCATCAGCTATCACCATACCAAAATGTATCAAAATCCGTCCAGTGGTTTTTTCGTCATGCGAACACGATATACAGAAAAAAATCTAAAACTGTAAATTTGGCCTCTGATAATGATGGCTTTTTAATATATTTTTAAATATACCTATATCATTTACAGATACGGCTCAGTTACAATTTTTTTACATGTGTAGTATTTTTAATACTAAAGGCAAGCAGTCACGCGTCCGAGCAAAACGAGGGTAAAGCACTAGTCTATATACCTATAGTGAAGGCTAATAAATGAACGAAAACACTCATCTTTATCTTTTAATTTGTAAATAAAACACCGATTCGATTAGATTTTAATTCTATGGACGACTTATCGAAAACCAGCCAAAAACAAAGTCACCACGGTTGTATGTTTTAATAATTGATATAGATATAAAGCTTTGTACATATTTGAAATACAAATAACAAAACAATATTTTAGTACTTTTGGTGATAAAGACTTGATGAAGTAGTGAAAGGTTGCTTGTAAAATCTTCGAGCTTATTTTATACTCTTTTAAAGTGTGTTTCTTTTAGTTTTTCAAAATAATCTATAAAGATAAATAAAAGTATCTGTTTGTAATGTTTGTAATCTGAACTTATAAAAAAAAACAATTATTTAAAATTTTTGTCCTTCAATTTGTTCCGACTTCCGGCTAATCTCCGTAACGGCTGGACTGATTTTGACGGAACTTTCACTGGCAGATAGCTGATGTTATGAGGGGTAACTTAGGCTATTTTTATTTTGGAAAAACAATCAGGGTTCCGCGCAAAAAAAAATTAAAACCCATGAAATTATGACTGTAATCCGCTTAACTAAGGTCGGTCGGTAAGCGAAGGTAGGTCGCTAGTAAAAAAAACTTTAATAAAATTAAATAAAAACCCACTAAAAAACAATAAAAAGTAAAAAATAACTGATTGGTATATAAATACACTAGCATTGCTTGCGGCTCCGCCCACGTTCAGATGATCAAAAACCAAATTCTTAGGTTTTACATATGAGTATACTGTTACATTACAGTTTTTGTATTTTTTCTCAGAAATGAGATATTTCCCCGCGGTAAAAATATCCTATATGTTGGACCCGGATAACCAGCTATCACCATACCAAATTTCATCAAAATCCTTTCAATAGTTTTTCTGTGATGCGGTAACAGTCAGACGGACAGACAGACAAAAATTCTAAAAACTTTAGATTCGGCCTCTGTATCGATAATAATGTTTATTTCAATAAGATTTTCCAAAAAATATTTCATGTACAGACTCGGCTTAGTTACAATTTTATTATATGTACTTAGGTATAGATAATCAAAAAAATAAATAAAATCGGTCTGCTTTGATTTGTATCGTCTGGCTGGGTTTGATTTAATTTAAAGTTTAGTTTCTTCTTTCTAGAGCATTCAAATGAAGTCTTGTTTTTAAAAATGTTTTTATACCTACTATTAATTTATTTTTAACTTATTCGACAAACGAGTGGTTATAAATCTTACTATCTATACCTATAATACAATTCTGAGTCGAATCTGTACATTAAATATTTTTTTGGAAAATCTTATTAATTAGCCATTATTATCGATGCAGAGGTCGAATCTATAGTTTTTATATATATTTTGAATTTTCGTCTGTCAGCATGGGAACGCATCACGAGAAAACCACTGGACAGATTTTGATGAAATTTGGTATGATGATAGCTAGTTGTCCGGGTCAACATTTAGGATACTTATTACTGCGGGAAAATATCTTACCTCTGAGAAATTTATATTTAACGTTAAAAAGCAACTAGGGACGAACCCGAACAGGAGTGAGTCGCTATTCTTTATTGCACACCATTACATATTTTACATCACTTATACAGTAGATACAATGGCGGTCATATCGCTAGAGAGCGATCAATTCTAGGCAAACTTTAGGTAGACAGAAAGTAAGAGAAAGGGGGGGGGGGGATATAATAACTAGATTTAAACTAACGCGGTCAAAATTGCAGATTAATTAATTCTAGATCTTTTCTTCGGGAATAGAAATCGAAAATTAATTTTGTTTAGGTACATAACTTGTGCATATCAATACGACACAATATTTTACGTAACCCATAAATGATAATTAATTAACTGTCAGAAATGATTTTATTTTTAATGATAATATATAATATAATTTAAAATATATAAAAGAATGATAATTTTTCTCGAAACTTGTATGCGATCACTCTACATAACAGTGTATACTCTAAAAATCTATTTAAAATTAAAAAACAAACTTTATTTAACATTGCTCACAGAACTTGGGTAAATTTAAAAAACTTACCAACGTTACAAAAAGGAGGTAATAAAGCGCTGAAACGACCATTTTGAACGATGTGGTCCTCCTGACTGGACTCCGGGACACCCACGGGTATTTATGTATGCCTTATCTACAAACTGTACGAAATATATCAACTAACTTTAAACTTATATTTAAAAATTGCTTCTTATCATAACGTGTACCTATTTCGATCGAATTCGTGTCAACGAATTGTTATTTATAGAGCTATTACCGAGATTGACAGCAATCATTCTTCCTTATATTATACTAACGCCTTATCCTCGCTTTGCTCGGAAACAACCCTGAACTCGCCGACTTTACCTCGACTCGCCGTTTCAACTTTTTTGAGGCGGACTCAGATTTTTTCTCTAAAATAGAAGCATTCTAAGTTACTCCTTATAACATGACCAATCAGCCAGGTAAAGTCCAGTCCAAATCAGTCCAGCCGTTTCGGGGTTTAGCCGAAACGAACAGATAGACAGACACAAAAAATGTTTTCCTTATTAGAACTACTATATATATTTTTATAGGCATTTAATAAAAAGCTGGTATTTGGACATTACAAACAGACACTTCAATTTTATTTATATGTTCACTATGTATAGATGTCAAATATTCGCGTAAATTAAGAAAAGTATTTATCAACTTAACTTTAACTTTTGGTCCACTTAACTATGTGGCCAGCCTTCTACTGGGTTCGAGTCTCGGGTTAGGTCATCCTATAACTACTACCTACTTACCTACAGGATTTTTCTGTTAAGAAATTCTCAGTAACAGCCTGGAGTTAGGAAGTCAGTGGTGTCATACCCTCGTGCCTCGAAACGCACGTAAAGCTTCTCTAAAGATCTCTAGACGGGATGAAGAGTTTTCCCACCGGGCTTTGAGAATGGATTGTAGTTGGCTAGTCCCATTGCCACTCCGACATCGGTCAGAAGAAAATGTTCTTCTGACTGAAAATGTGCTAATGAGCACTGAAGCAAAGCGAAGAAAACTCCTCTCAACGTCCCCCACCACGTCTGTCTGTCTGTCTGGCTGTCTTTCTGAACGCGATAAACTCATAAACTACCGAACAGATTTATGTACAGTTTTCACCAATGGACGGAGTGATTCATGACGAAGGTTTAAGTGTATAATTCCTGTACCTAGGGTGCCTACATACTCACCTGAGCGAGAGCTTAGGAAAGTTTTGTCTATTTATATATAGATAAAAACAAACACTGAAATTATGATTATTATGTAAGTAAATACAGAAAGCAATGACTATGAATTGGTAGAACGAGGTCAAAAACCCTCTTTTTATCGCGACACTGAACGCGATCGTAAATAAAATAATATTTGTGAGTAAACAACATTGTCGTAATTCATAATTTGATAAAAATATTCTCAATTATGATTATGATATAATTTTTATTCTAAGCACTTGCTTTTACCGCCGACTTTACTTATTGTTAATAATAAAATACTTTTATTTTCATGAAAAAAAAACAAAATCGAAAATTAAAAAAGTTTAGTTGCATTTTTTTCCAATAGCAATAATTATAAAATAATATAATCATCAGGACACCCCAGAGAGCCAGCAACAAAATAGAAACTAAAAATATGCTAAACCTGGAGACCTGTAGTCGTATCCATGCTATCTTAATATGCAGTTTTTTTAACAAGACGATGGCATGGATTTTGTTGCTGGACGCAAATAAATAGAAACTAAAATTCTGCTACACCTGGAGACCTGTAGCCATGTCCATGCTACAGGTCTCCAGGTCTAGCCAATTCTAGGGTTTTTTTCAAATTTTTTATCACTATTTGTCAGCAACAAATACTGATGTATAATTGCATTTAATCCATGCCGTTCCCGGTGAGTTTACTGCTAGCTTAACGTTAAGATAGCAGTAACTCTTTTTTTTCGAAATCGGACAAAGCAACAAAATCGGGGTTTTAGCAACAAATTAGCCACAAAATACCGTATATGTTTCGAACGATTCTGCTAACCTTTCACTGCTATCTTAACACACCTCCAATTTGGACAATTCTTAAATATTCATAAGAGTCCGAATAAGAAAAGTATATGCCTATATTTGAAATATTAACTATTGTGAAAAAAATAATTAAAGCATGTATTTTGTACGTATTATTCCTTTTTTGAGGTCGTAATAATCTTTTAGTAAAACGCCGGATACTAAATACTGTTTGTTTTCAAACAAAGCTGTTTAATGTTTTGCAGATATGAGGTACAGTCGGGAACACAATCACTTTTCAAATAAATGTATGTACGTATTCAGTCCTCCCTTCAGTACGAAGGGAATCAGTCCTCCACGCTGGCCAGCTGGCTGGCTGCACGTTGGCGGACTTCACGTCTTTCAAAAACTTGCTAGGCTCTCTCAGACATGTATGTTCCTCACGATGTTTTCTTTCACCATAAGGCAAGTGGTAATCATGTTAGAAATGATTCGCACATGAAAATATCAGGGGTGTGAGACCTGGAATTTGAACCCGCTTCACTCGATTTCCCAAGCGAGTGCGTTACCACCGACTTCAACTGCCTTCAACTAAATAGGTACACTGAATTAAAAATTAATTTAAAACTAAATATTTCACCAGATGCGATTTTTTCTTGTTTATCTGTAATATTGTTACAACATATCAGTGGTAAGCCAAGTAGCGACCTCAAACCTTTAGTATCGCGCCTCTGATATAATCACGAGAATCATTTTCAACGTGAAGTTAACATTGGAAATCTACATATCTGAGAAAACCTAACCAGAGTACCGAAAAACATGCTTAGTCCGCCTGCATTTCATCAGCGTGGTAGAGTATGGCCTAAACCCCTCACATTTAAGGTAGGTAGTGCCAAACAGTAAAGCGTAAAAAATGGCTAAATTATTATATGTGTTTCATCCCATCCGTTACCTCTCCACTGCCACCACTCCTAACCACTTTCCATTCACAAGGTAACACAAGTAACCCGCATGGCACACCTTCCGAAAGTGGTAGTCTTTGGTACTCCATCGTCATTGGTCATGAAAGAAAAGTACCCCAACATTGAATATACCCTAAATATGGACACATTCTTGTAATTTTAAAAATAAAAATACTTATCTACATTTATATATTTTTTATCGCACTAATCGATATGTCAACATCGATCAAAGATATGAATTAGAAAAAATATAGGAGTAGTAATAGATACTATTTATAATATTTAGAATAAAATATATATAATAACTAGCAGAAATCTACAAAAAAAGTCTTTTGCTTTATAAAAAAAATAAAAAAAATACTTTCAACCTATTCTCATACCTATGAAGTATACAAAAAAAATTATTAAAATCTGTCAAGCCGTTTCGGAGGAATACGACCACAAACACCGTGACACGAGATATTTACATAGTAGATTGTGAACTTTTTAAAAAAATGTATTAATCCTACTAGGATATTAAGTACCTATTCATAAAGATGAGATTTTTCACATCACATTTTCATTGCGACTGTACAATAAGCTTTTCTCTATTACAATAGTTCTTCAAATTTTGCATTCCAGTTTTATCTTTAAAGGAGGTTAGAAGTAAAATGAAATGAAAAACTAATAATAATTTCTTTCAAGATGTTTATCATTGTGTTATTCATACATTTTGTGCTCGTAAGCGCTGGTCCAGCCACAGAATCCTACAAAAATCAATGTGAGTCAAATAATAATTATCAATTCTTCTAATATTATAAACGCGAAATTTTTTGAGAATACATATATAGATAGAAGAGTGACAAACATCCATCATGTTTGTAAATAACTCTTTCACACAAATACTACTGAACGTATTTTGATAAAACTTTACAGTAATATAGCTTATATATCAGAGTAACGCATAAGCTGTGATTTTTAAAAATATAATTAGACGTTATTGAGCTACACGTAAGGAGCCGCGGGAAAATGCAAGTTAATGAGAACCAAGCATTCCTTAGAGCTAGACTTATTGATAAATTTTATTTTGCTCAATCTTAATGTCAAGTCAAATCTCAAGGGGAGGTAATCTCGGGAAGACATAGGCTTTTTATGTTGGCTCAATAATCTCATATAATCTCACGTTGGCAAGCTATGCTAGCAGTCTTATAAATCATCTAATTATTACCCAAGTATTATATATAAAAATCAGCTTTTATACTATAACGTAAGTAGAATTATGATTTCATGAAAAGGGTGTCTGGCAAGGGTTTGCCACGATGTTAAGTGTCTGGCATTGAATGACGTGATTTTTAATAATATTCTGAAGGTAATACCAAAAAATCACAATTTATTATTTGACGAATTTAGATCGGTATTTTACACACCTTTAGTACCGTGTAAAAGCCACCACAGCCTGAACTTCATAATGGTCCATCGTTCTTATCTGTGTTGGGAGCATGCGCTGACAAACTTTGAACTTTTATAAAATGACGAAGGTCTGGCGTTCACAGGCTCTTAGGTCATTCATTTTATCCAAATTGACAACATTCCACGCCAAATCTTCGTTTCAAACATTTTTATTTTTGATTTTCTTAATATTTTGGTATTTTTAGTACCTATAGTACCATTAAAGTTGGTACAAAAGGAATTTTGTTTATTTTCTTTACAGATTGTACAGATCCTCGAACGACGACGAAACACGCGGCGTACACCGAGTGGGCAGACGCGTACTCTTGTACCAGACATCGATGCCAGCCCGGGGGAAGAAACCTAGCCATATACAGTGTGGGGTATGTGCAATACTTTCTTTATTTAGATTTATGCGAATATTTGACATTTTAAATAAAACTATTTAATTTTTGATTCCTGACGTTTTCAATGCTTACAGCAATTAAGGTGATGGAAATGACGAAGGTTGTAGACGTCTCAAGAATCATAATAAGTTTTCGTAAAGAATCTCAACAGACAGTTTCATTTAAAATTAATTTAAAATCATACTTAAACATAAGACAGACTGGGTGTATCATATGTAATTTAAAATTGAGTGAGTGTTAGTTCAGGCTATTCTCAGATACTACTATAGCGATTTCCATACGGTTTTCACGAATAGAAAGAGAGATTATTATTATATCTAATCTAAATAATAGAATACTATTTCCAATGTTATTTGTCTTGCTCTTCACTTTCTGTTCATTTCAATATTTAAGTTACTGGTTGCTAAATATTTTTAAATAATTCTAGATGCAAGCGTGTTGAAGCTCCTGAGTCTGCTATCGAGTGCGAAGAGGTGGTGGAAGATACTAATATGCAGTTCCCATACTGCTGTACAAGACTTAGGTAAGAATCAAGACTTTAGAAGAGAATGAGAAGTAGATATTCTCTTCTTTAATGAAAAATTCAAGGTTGGCATTAGATAACAATTACTATTTAACTATAAAAGCAATATTCTATTTAATTTTCGGTTTTGAATGAGTTAGTCGTCTTTCAATAAACACTAACTACCTACTAATTTTATAAATGCGAAAGTTTGTGAGGATGTATGGATGTATGGATGTATAGATGTATGGATGTTTGTTACTCTTTCACGCAAAAACTAGAATAGATTTTAATGAAACTTTACAATAATATAGCTCATACGTCAAAATAACACATAGGCTACTTTTTATCCCGGAAAAATCTACGGTTCCCGTGGGATAGATTTGTTTTTGTTTTCTAGACGCACTCGGGTGCGTCCCTAGGTAGGTACGTTTTAATTTTTTTGAGCGGGACCCTAATTCTTTTTCTCAAATAATAGTAGCCTAAGCTACTCCTTATAACATCAGCTATCTGCCAGTAAAAGTCCCGTCAAAATGAGTCCAAACATTTCGGAGATTAGCCGTATCAAACAGACAGACAGACAAAAAAAAATTAAAATTGTGATTTTCTTTTAAGTACCGTATACGCATTGCGTATAAATATATTATTTTGACATTACAAACAGATATTTCAATTTTATTTATCTGTATAGATGCCTGGTAGTAGTCCGGGGGGAAGTCTGGACTCGCGTGTTGGGGCAACCCTGGGAGAACCTGCCCGCGGCCCCCTGGAGCCACATGTACAAGATGAAGAGACCCCCACCGATGGATGAGCATGCTGGACATAAGTAAATCTTTTTGCTGATATTTAAAGTTCATTTGCGATTTAAATTACAGTTTACTGTTTGTTATTGATCAATATATACCTACTCGTATTTACTTTTTAAATAAAAAATACAACAAAATCGAACTCGCTGTCATTTGTGTATGTTGTATGTATATATGTATATACATTGTATATCTATATATAACTCATATTTGTCTATGTATGTATGTATTCATTTGTAAATCTCCTTAAGATTGTTTGCTAAACTTTCTTCCCTTTTCTTTCTCTCTGCCCAAAGGTGGTCTCGCAGACATCGTTCTCTAGAGATAAAGCCGCATATTATACTAATTCTACTTTAATTTGTTACTTCTATGTAAATAATAGTAAAGAATACATTTTGTAGTGAACACCGTAGTTTGAAACATTAAAATGTTAGATATATTTTAATATACGTAAAAAGTATTACAAAATATTAACCTATCATATGAACATGTAACTTATGGACGACATAAATACGTTAACATAAAAGTTCGTATATATCAGAATATTACTACCAAAAACAAAGTTAATTTTGTAGCCGAACACGTAAAACGGTGTTTCACCTCCTTGCCTCAAAGAATACGTAAAGCGATCGACCATTTTTGAAAGCAAAAGTGCTATGCACCCTGTAGACGAAATCGGTTAGAAAGACATTAATCATTTTAAATTACTCACTTTAATAATCTATAATAATAGGAATTATTTACAGAAATATTGGACCTGGTCCCATATACGAGCTCCAAGATGCTGAAAACGAGCCGCATGACAAAGTACTGCGCGCGTCAAAATCTACATCTGCACCAGATTATAATGAAGCTGTCTCACAATCGGTTCCTTCTCCTGATATTGTTGTAAGTATCTCTATCTGAAGGGGGAAAATAAAGAAAGAAAGAGAAACTAGTGACTTATCTCCTTCTCTTAGCGTATCTTCTTTTTTGTGTGTAGGAACTGCTATCTTCTTCGTCTACTTAATGATATTGTGATTATTTCAAATTAAATAAACATAAATCACTGTAGCTTGTTTTTACGAGGGATTTCTACATCCTGTTTCTTTTTCAAAACCTGACGATTTTAACACGCTTTTCAGCTTCTCTTGTAACTGTGTAATAAAATGTTACCAGTATCAATATCCATTTTAACCAGATGATAATATAATAATTTGATACCTCCTCGCGGATCTGACGATAGAGCCAGGGGGTGGATAGCGGGACTCTTCAATGGCTACTTCACCTTCGAGTTCTGATTCTAATTCTCATTTGATTCGTTTTATCGAGTTTCATAGCTATTATAATTAGTCAAAAATTATTTTTATTACTTACTTTTAAAAAATATATTTTTTGGTACGTGGAAATAGATTGCGTATTGTATTTTTGGGCACTGATTTTATATAAGAATCTTCTAGGGTATTTTATTTTTAAAATATTATTATTTATTAGCAAAGATTATAAAACAATCTGCTAGTTAATAAGTACCTTCTAAAGAAAAAGTAAATAATATTTTTTCACAGATCGCTCTCGCAACTACCAACGATGAAAAGGAAAAGAAAAATGAAAATATTAAGTATGTTTTGAGAATTTTGTTATTTTCTGCTTTGACGTAATTTTTCTATTGGCTTTTATGTAATAAGGATTCGACTTCCGGTAGAATAATGAAATTATCAAAAAATTATGAAGTTCTAGTTTGGCAATATGACCTCGTGACTTGGTTGAAAATTTTAATGAATACTCATTTGCCTTTATTTCGTTTCTCGTCATTTTTATTTGATTTTACAATCTTGACTCTCGCTTTATTTATGTGCATTCATATCGATAGATGTCTTTTAAATAATATAATTATGTATAGATAAATTTTTATTACTATCGTCGCTTATGTGTTCCTCCAGGTCATAATGTTCTAAAGTTCATCCAACTCGGTTTCAGTATGAGGAAGTAACAAACACACACACTCTCACATTTAATTATTAATAATGTAAGGTTTTTTTTATTTATTCAGACATAAGAGAGCAAGAAAAAATCCTTTGAATAGCAACAATGAAGAAGAGACGGATAAAGAACATAATGAAGTCGATTTCGAAGAAACAAAAGTTGCAGAAAAGGTACTTTATGTTTTAATTTTGAATATATAACATTTTTTTTAATTGCGTATTTTTAATAAATAACTAAAATTATTGAACTACTCAAGTTGCGTAAATACGCCTCTTTTAGCCAAAATTATGCGTTTATACCATTTGCTCTAAAAACTCTTTTCAACCGACTTCAAAAAGGAGGAGGTTCTCAATTCGGCTGTACGTTTTTTTTATGTTTGTTACCTCTGAACTCCGTCATTTATTAACCGATTTGGACAATTTCGTCGGTGTGCTTTGGCTAAGTAATTAAAGTCTACCTATTAAATACATACCTAATCAAATATTTTCAAAATCGGTGCCAGCCCATACAAAGCAAAGCACACCGACTTCGAAAATATTTGATTAGGTATGTATAGTAAATGAAAACTACCAATCAGTTATTTTTTACTTTTTAGTGCTTTTGTTTGAAGTCGGTTTTTATTTTTTTGTTAAAAAGTTTTTATTTTTTTTTATGTTGGGAAATGCATTTACGTATGCCATCTGTATGTATACACTTACTAAAGTCACTAGCTAGAAAATCCAGTACAACTCACTAAAACCCAACAGAATCTCCCCCGTCATAATGGGGCGTCACAGGACCGCTTACGCCCTAAACCACAACGCGCCAACGGCAGGTCTGCCGAAGTAGACCACACAACCAAGGCATGCTCCCACTATGTCTCCAATTGCATAATACTATATTCCTTCGTCAACTTGTTTTCAACTTTTTAGTTAGCTTTTATGTAGTCGGGTTTTGTACTTTTATATTTTTTTAAATATATAATGCTATTTTTACATTAATATTTTAGGCACAAGAAACATCAGACGAAAAACTACCTGCTGTTACACCAAAATTAATAGCTGAGGTATGCATTAGCCATTAAAATAAGATTTTTTAACATAAAAATGTAATCGACTCTATAGTCGAATTGAAATTATACTTTTGTGGACTTTCTTGATTCAATTCAGATTAAAAACACCGTTCACAAACGTCGGATGAATGTAAGCGGCAAAGATATAAACTTTTTGTACAAATATTTTATTCCTAAATAAGCTTTTTAACGCCCCATTATTGTGGATGGACCTTAACACAATTTGTCAACGCGCATTTGGTTTTGTTTGTGTTTTGCATGCTCAGACATGCAGGTTTCCTCATGATGTTTTCCTGCACCGTAACGCTAGTGCAAATTTTGCTGGAAATCTAACATTTTAATATTTACTATTAACACTATGAAAAAAAAGCATCAACTAAATGTGGCTTAATTCTCCTCGCTAAGCAACCTGGAACGTTAAAAAGTACTAATTTAATTAACATTCCAAAAAAATTGACTAGAATTAAATTTAATTTTTCACAGAACACTTGGACACATATTCCTCAAAACCAATGGAAAGAACATGAACCATCTACAGATCTGGAATATTCACCTGTAAGATTCTTGTAATCAAATATTTTAGCATTTTATTTATTAAAAAATATGCTGTTTTTTGGTAAGCGAATCGCTTGAGAACGGCTGGAATTTGGATGTTTTTTAATTTGAAGAAGTTCGTAATAGTCTGAATATAGGGTCTTTAAGGGAAAATATTGGAAAGTCTTAGGAAAAATAAACAAATTCGAGAAAAAATTAAAGTGCTTTTTTATGAAAGATTTTTGTATGAACTCAATGATCAAAAATAAATTTACTAAAATTAGGTAGGTTTGGAACTATCTATCGGGTCATTTAGTATATATCTTTCTTTTTTCAAAAAGAAAAGTATAAAAAAATAATTTAAAACCTAAAAAAATTTGAAGTGGTACTGGAACATAATATGTAAAAATACTAAATTTTACTAGATATTGGGTTTTTCCGTGTTTTCCGAAGAAATTTTCTGTAAGTGCCCAGTGTTAAGAAGTCGGCTGTCAGCCACCATGCCAAGCAGAAGGAAGCAATCATTAAAAATCATCTTAAGTTTCACTTTAATCGACAAAGCTGCGTGTAAGACCGCGTGGGGCATTTAAATTATAATTTCATATTTGTTAAACTTTAGCCCGCAGACGAAAAAAAAGAAAGGCCGTCTGGTCTCCAAGCACTAGTGGACGCAATCGGTAACAGAATGCGAGACATAGAAAGCGTTGTCCAAAAGATGAGTGAAAAAGTACATAAGGAGAGTGATTTCGAAGAGAAACAAGAAATACAGTAAGTACTTTTATTTAAAATCTTAAATATGATACTTTATTCAAAAAATTTTATCAGACGCAAGATCCAAGATTTATTAACTTTTAGATAGTATTTTAACATTCAAATCAAGTGTGAGTGTCAGTCTGTGAGGAAGTTACCACCGACTCAAACAACACAAAAAGGAATCTACTGGTCAGAAAAAGTTAGAATTTGGTACATTTGTAGAGCTATCAGCTGGGTGGACCAAGGAGGGACGTGTATATTTCACTTTCAGGGTAATACTTAGAAAAGTAAATAAAAAACTACATTAGAAAAAGACATAAAGGAAACATTCATCAGTACTCTTGCATGATCTCAGAAACTACTGAGCCTAGAATTCTGAAAAATACGCAATACAGTACTTCGCTTATGTGTTACAGAAAAATTTAAAATTTCATGATGTACGGTATCCTTCATCACGCAAATATAAAAATATACTCGCAATTGCATTTTTTCAGTTAATATTTAATTACTTTTTAGGCCTGAAATTGAAGCTCTGAAGAAACGTCACAAAAACGATAAAAGCCATGAAACAGATTATTTTAAGCGTCCAAAGAAATCTAATCCACAAAATGATAATTATAAAAGGTAACAGAAATCTTATTTTCACGCTTTCATTAGGTTCACTAATTAACTAATAAACTAATTGTTTTACCTATTCTTGGAAGTCGATTTTGATATATAGTTGAAATTCGGATAACAATGTGTTAAAATGAGATGCCAGCGAGCTGATCTAATGATGGAATCAGTTTCCCTGAAATCACAAAAATTGGTCGACTCCCATTAAGCTATTTGCATTTTATCATATATATATATATATATATATATATATATATATATATATATATATATATATATATATATATTGTATTGGATATTGTATTCTATCCACACTTAATATTATAAATATGAAAGTGTGTTTCTTTGTTTCTTTGTTTGTCCTTCTATCACTTCAAAATGGATTGATCGATTGGCGTGATTTTTTTGTGTGGAGATAGTTGGAGAGCTGGACAATGACATAGGCTACATTTTACCGTGGGAGATTATCTCATTTCCACGAGAAAACATGTTATAATTCTACCCAAAAAAATATTTATGATCAGAATTATTTGAAACGTGTATTAATGCTCTTTAAAACAAATAAAATTATAACAATTAAATAATCGGTAGTAGACACCTGAAAGCTGGGTTTTATTATAAATGAATAAAAACTGTAATTGCAATTATTTTGTCCTGGTCAAAAATAATATACGGAAAAGACACTTTTTCTTAAGGTTTCTTTTTAAAATTTTATGAGGGCTGTCCTTAAAAAATGTTTTAAAATAAAAGAATCAATTGAGGCCCGCTGGGACCCCCTTGCCTCAGAGGCCTCTTGCGACCACATTGATTGTATTGGCAGAGCTACGCTACTGGCCACTAGATCTACAGCCATAAGAGCAGAACATTACATATTGAAGTACTAAACGAAATCTTACAGATTCTCACCAGAAAACCGCGGTAGTAAATATTTGCATCCTGATGTTACTGAGAAGTCGCTGTATGGAGAAGATAACAACATGAAGGGATACTTCAGCGACGCCAGTAACGTCTTTAAACGAACTAATTTACCGAAAGTATGTTTTCTTGCAAGTTTTAATTTCATTTCGCTCTCGTATTGTTTAGCTTGCAATGTTTGTTAGTTGGTATAGGTATTTGTATGGGGCAAATCTTGCAAGCGGAATTAGAACAACTGCCTCTTATCCTGCAGACTTAACATTTTTTTCATATTACTACAATCCCGATGACAGTGACTTTTAATGATAATTATGACCTGATTCTCCATATAGGATTGACTCCAGAAGAACTAACCGTGCAGACACGAACTACTCAATAGCTAACCGTACAGACACGAAATTTTATATACGTATTTAATTATTAGACATACATAATATGTACATGTCGCTTTACTTCTAAGGATCGAAGCGTTGGATATAGCCGTCCTGAATAAATCACACTATTATAATAAACGCGAATGTTTGTATGTGTGGATGTGTGTTACTCCTTCACGCTCACGCAGGTAAATAGTCTGTCTGTGAGCTTAATTACATCCAAATCAGTCCAGCCGTTTTAGCGTACATCCATACAAATAATACACACAATACACATACAAACTTATGCATATAAAATATGGTATAGTGGCATATATAATACTTTAGTCCGATACGATCAGTATATATTGATATTTGCATTATGAAAAATATAATTAAAATTTTTATATTCATAAGGTAACTGCGCTAACATACGTAGCCCCAGTGGAAAACCATCGCAAGTCTGTCGCCTCAGATGTGTCTGATGAGAAAGAGAAGAAACATAAAAAACATAGCCACAAGAAGAAACGAAAGGTAAAGTAGATCTATATAAACTAGTGGACGAAAATTCGACCATAATAAAAGTTTTGAAGAAAACATATTAGTATGATAGAATTTAGTTACTTATCTATGAAAAACTGTTTATAAATTATTTTTTCATTAATAACACTAAATCTCGTCAATAACTAAACAAAAAAAAGAAAATCGGTTGACAAACAGAGGTAAAAGTACTGAGCTGTTTTGTCTATTGGCTATCTATATATAGATAAAATTAATATTTACATCTATACTTATAATTATTATAGGCAGAGATAGCCCAGTGGTAACACGCTCTCTTGGGAAACCGAGTAAAGCGGGTTCAAAACCCGGGTCTCGCACCTCTGATATTTTCATATGCAAGTCATTTTTAACATAATTACCACTTGCCTAACGGTAAAGGAAAACATCGTGAGGAAACCTGCATGTCCGAGAGAATCTAGCAAGTTTTCAAAAGACAAGTGAAGTCCGCCAACCCGCACTTGGCCAGCGTGGTGGACTCTGGCCTGATCCCCCTCGTATTAAATGGAGGCCCGTGCCCAGTAGTGGGACGTTAAAAAAAAGGGCTGAATACACATACATATAATAAAACTCGAGTCCAATCTGTACATTAAATATTGTTTGGAAAATCTTATTGAAATAGTCATTATTATAGATACAGAGGCCGAATTTATGATTTTTAGAATTTTCTTCTATCATCTATGAGCTAATCACAAGAAAATCACTGGACAGATTTTGATGACTTTTGGTAAAATGATAGCTGGTTATCCGAGTCAACATAAAGGATACTCTTTACTGCGGGAAAATATCTCATCTCTGAGAAATCTTTACCATACATTAAAATGTTATTGCTAGTCTATACATATATTAAAACAGTAACTTAGCGAAATCTGTACCTGAAATCTAAAAAATTAGGAAACTTGGAAAAAACTGGACATGCTTATGTCTTAAAATCTTTGCATGAACTCAAAGATCAGTTTATTGTGACAGCTCGCATTTTAGGTCAGCTAAGTAGTTTTTAATAATCACTTAGATAATATTAATTTAATTTCCTTGTTTTTTCACTAAAGTTTAATCAGAATCGATTCATTCATTTACATTTTATCATCATTTATTTTTTGATTTACTACTATTTTTTTCCTCTTATCAGGGTAAAGGCCACAAGAAACACGTCAAAAATGAGAAAAGAAAACATTTCAACAAATTATCTTCAAAAGAATTAGATAAAAATGTAATCTCTTTAGAAGACAGTAGTGCCGTTGTAGCGAAGTGAATGATATTATTTATTTTAATTATAAGTTTATTTTGTGAAATTACTGAAAAAAGTTGGTATCAATTTTTGTTGTTGTTTATATTACACGTTGTATTTATTTTTTTAACATTTATCACTAATTGCAATCTAAAGATCTACGTCAAAATAAAAAATACATACCTAATACTTAGATTTACGCGAATATATCACATTTTAAGTGAACTATCTTTTTGAACTTTTTCGCGGATTTATTTTAATTTTTGGTTGTCGACGTTTCGAATGCTATACAGTAATCGTGGTCACGGGAAAGATTAGGGATTTACAAGTCTCACAAATTATTACTTGTAGACAGTGTCTGCCAATAAAATTATACACAGTAGAAAAGCGTTGTACTACAGTGTCATTTCTATTTTTTTTTTGGGAAGAACTATATAAAAATTCATTGTAATTGATGATGTCGGAACAAGAGAAGCTTTTCGTTAAACCTACTATAAGAATAATAAATGCCTTTTATAGATATTTAAACAATCTGTAAGTATTTATTTTTAAAATTGTTTATAATATAATATTATTTATGAATAAAAATTTGAAATAATAACTTATATTTTAATAATAATTGTCTTTTTTTTTAAATTAAAATCTCCTTCAATGACACAACAATATATGTATAAAGTAAAATATTTTTTATGAAATAATTAAACACATCTAAAACTGTTACGAACTATTTATTTTTAATAACAAAACAATACAATATTTACATTCGTAGGAAAATGCTTTATAATACAATAATTTTATTGCAACTTAATTATCTATAATTTTCATTGTTACATCTAAAAGAAAACATTTCTATTGAGAAAGGAACAAAATATGTTCAAACTTGTGCTTTGTAATTTTTTTTATTTAAAAAAAACAGCAATTATAAATGCAAAAATACATAATGTATTTAGGGAGATTTTCAGAGAATCTTTATTTTAGTGAAACGTTCACAAACAAAGATTTATTTCTATATTTATTATAGTTTTAATATTTCTCCTGTAAGTTGGTTTTTTGTACAAAACCAATATAAACTTTATTTTTTAATACTTTTATATTTAAAAAAGCATATGTTATTCCACTCATTATATCTACAACTGTCAGCGTGAAAGGAAGCTACTTATTTATTTAATATAAACTTTTCTTTGTGAAATTATTATTGTATTCTAATACAATTTCTAAAGTATAAGTAACCCTTATTTGGGGCTATTATTTTTTTTATTTTACATAGCAAAGACACGAAAAAGAATTTCTATGAGAAGAAAACAGGCTGTATTGTTGGATTTCTTGTTTCCATTTATCGCGTATTTTCAATAACAAGTTTCTCAATTTTATACATATCACCAATAACCACCTGTAAATAATTATTCCAAGTATTAAAATACAAAATTTACTAGTGGTTGCCCTCGCTTTGCGCCGGTTCGCCTCTAGAATAACAAACCTATCCCACGGGAAACGTACATGTTTCCGGGACAAAAAGTAGCCTATGTGCTATTTCAAATTATAATCTATCTCTGTGCGACATTTCATCCGGATCCGTTCAACTGTTCTGACGACGTGATTAAGTAACAAACATCCAGAGATACATAAGCACTTTACAGCAATTTTTAAAGTAGTTCATATCACATTACTTAAAATAAAATATAAACTATTTATTATTAATCTAATATTATTGTTTATTTAACAAATAGTAATTTCAATATTTGTTTGTTATATAGACCAAGTAGAAGTCTCATACTAGATACATATGTGAGTTTAAATCAATAGTACAATAGTAGTGTTGTTTATCGTCTATATATTAAGCTACACACCTTAATGCATAGAAGACAAACAAAAAAATGTGGTGGTATGGTATGCAGTAAGTTGTACCACCTACACCCATGAAAATACCTGACCCAAAAAATAAAGGATTTTCTTTGTAAATTGTTCTCTGTCTGTTCCTATAGCATTCAGTTCCTAAGATATGCACTTAAGAAAACTTTATTACTAGTTTCAAAATAAAATAAACAGTAGAAATTTTTATTTACCTGACGCTTGATGATTTCCAAATTCTCCTTACCAAAGTCAAATTCTTTTTTAATCAATTTAGGGTCCGATAGTGACTTGCTCTCTTTAAATGCATCTCTCACTCTTCTTATGGCATATGCTCTGTAAAATATAAATTGTTGAGTTTCCATCAATTAAATTTGAAACATCTTCCAGCATGTATTCTTATTATTTATTTACAAATCATCATATTATAATAGTAATTTCAATACACCTCATCTTATCACCTCTGGTGACAGGAGAGCTGGCTTGTTTTTTATCCAAAGAATCGGCATTGCCATTTTGCAGGGGTATACGGCTAGCATTCTTGCCACACTTCCGCAACATGACTTGTACAATAATAATTAAGTATAGATTTGTTTTGTATACATAACAAAGCATATTAGTAATTTCCTTTATTGAGAATAAGATACAGATAGATATATTCATAGAAATCATTAAATATAAGAAGTATAATACTCAGACACTTCTAAAAGAAGAAAAAACAATTTTATTTTTGCTAAATGTTTTTCACTAGTTTTTCTTAGGACTGAAAGTTCTAATAATTTAGTACTGTATAAGAGATCAGTTGATACCAAATATTAATAAAAAAAATACAAACAAATGCATTACAAACTTTATTTTATTCGTATAATTAAAATATCACATATAGTAGGGTAATAAAATGAGGACATCATTTTAAATATATATGTATAAGTGCTTCATCTTTGGAAAGATCTGCTATGAAATCAGTATGATTTTTAACAATGGGATGTGTTCTGTGATTGATATTGAAAATAATACTTAGTGTGTTTTAGCTTTTGCCATTTCATGCAACTACATGTAAATTGATTTGAAGCAGAGTTTAAGCTTATAAGAAAAGGTTTTTCTTGTATTTTGTTACATCATATGACTCCAATGTAATATTGTTGTGGTGCAAATAGTAACTGGAATTTCACTATTGCGAAAAATATTTCATAGAACATGACAAATTATTTATGCTACAGAATAATGAAATCTTAACATTGCTTTAACGCAAGTAGCCAAAATCAATATTAAAATATATATTTAAATACTATTTTAATTTTAAATATTTAAAACCAATAATAGTGCAAAATATTATCACAAGAACCTAATTATCTACTTCTATTTCTCAAGAACAATGAATTAAACGACAATAATAACAGCTTTTGAGGTTATATAATTATATGATAATCATATTGTGAAATTATACCTGAAATTGTAATTAGAAAATTTCTGAGACTCCTTCATTAATGCCTTATACAGTGATAAAATTTGATTCCTGGGTACACTTGAAGCCATTTTTATTAAAAATTTACTAAGATTTATCCAATAAATTTAAAATGTAAATAAAGAATTGAGAACGTTCCAATTTACGTTTTTGACTTTTGTTACTGATAGCTACAGAAGCTAAATTCTTAAAGATTATCTTTGTTTATTCCTGAATTATAGAAAATGATAGCTCTATCAAATATTTATTTAGTCTAAAATAAAAATGATTTTATTTTTGTATTCAAGTTGACATGAAGTATTTTTAATGAATAATTTATTATTAAGTATTTAATACCTTTTACTATCTATTTAAAGAATACATATTGTGAAACGAAATTTAGGGCTGTGTTGTGCAGGGCTGCCAATTTGTGAGAAACTCCTAAAAATGTGGATAAGTTCGGTCAAACTGGTAATCGCTTCAAATCGGGTAATCGTGGTGGTAAGAGCATTGATATGGAAAAAATGCAGGAAAGTTACTTAAAAAATAGAATAAACCATATCAAAAATTAAGTTGAGTTTTATGGCAGCACTGATGTCGTTCGACTTTAGATATTGAGAAATCCCCGAAACGAAATAGTCTATTTTTTTTTATAAAAGTAAATGTGGTTGATTTATGCGATTGAATTTCGAAAAATATTAAAACATGTATTTATTTAGTACTTAAATACATAAATATTTCATATCTTTTATCTTAAAGCTCTATTTTCTGTGTATTTCACATTAAGAATGACAGAGTTTTATACAATATTTAATCTCCTATTTTACCCACTTAGGGGATGAATTTGGAAAAATCCTTTCTTTTCGGACGCCTACATCATATAAGGAATGCGTTCTCCAAATTTCACGTTTCTATGACCAGCGGTGTAGGCTGTGTGTTGATCAGTCAGACAGAACTACCGCAGGATGCATCTCTCCTTCTTAATTTTTCCTTCAGCTGGTCTAACATAGGTAACATGTGAACACAATGGAACCAAAAAACTAGGTTTATAAGAGATATCACAATAAATTGTTTAACCTCGTGTGGCGCCCTCTTTTCGAGAAATCTTTCCCATTTCGAGAGACGTGAGTAATTTTTATTTGTAAAGTAACGAATAAATAATATCTTAATACCTAGCCATTGCTTACATTATTAAAAAATATCGCATTCTAAAGTATTCAAGTTATTTAATGGTCTTTATAAACTTTTTTTTAATCAATATGATATTTTGCAGTTTTAGTTTTCGAAACTGCGGCTTTATTATATATGTATTTAAAGTAATATATGTGTAGTGTACTTATCAACTATCTGGTATCCATAACACAAGCTTACAATGGAACTAGATGGTGCCGTGAAATTAAAATAATTAAATAGGTAGCTGTATTTTTCTATACGGCAGCACTAAAATGGCTGCAGTGGCAACTGGCAGCCCCAGGCCCCAGCCTTAGAACCGCAGTCAAAATTTCGATATCGAACGTGTGACATGTAAATATTTATAGTATTTAATTTTATACCTTACAAATAAACAAGTTATGAATTAACATACAGTGTTTGTTCTGTGTTCTATTATTTTATAAAACAGCGTCATAAATGTGAGTATAATACATGTTTACATTATATTGTGATTTAGTCGTGAGAATCGAACTATTTTCGCAATTCTACTAAACAATACTATTTCGCATATAGAGATGTTTTCATTTCCTTCGTTTGTGTTACATATAATTGTTACACGAGATATAGATGTTTTGTAATATGTATTTTTTTTACACCTCGACTGTCCTTGACTTTTTGTTGAGTTCATAACATGAGTGATGAGAAAGAATGGTGTATTTTTAAAAGTGGTTGACACATTTTTATAGTGTTAATTAGCATATACATAGATTAAAGTATCACTTGGCTATGTAAAAAATATACTTGAGCTTTAAAAATTGTTTATACATTGCAACATTTGAGTGTGTTAACTGTTAATATTTTACTGTAAAAAAAAAACCGGCCAAGAGCGAGTCGGACTCGCGCCCGAAGGGTTCCGTACCATTATCTATAAAAACAGCAAAAAAATTATGTCTGCCGTATGGTAGCCCCAGTTAAATTTTTATTTTATTGTAATTTAGTTATTTATTTTTAACGTGAATATATAACTAAATATTCTGTGAATATTTCAAGCGTATACCTGTTGCCGTTTTTAATATCGAGCTAAAACGAACAAAAAAAACGAGCAAAAAAAACATGTTTGTTGTATGGGAGACCCCTTAAACATTTATTTTGTTTTTGAGTACTTGTTGTTATAGCGGCAACAGAAATACATCATCCGCGAAAATTTCAACTGTCTATCACAGTTCTTGAGATACACCCTGGTGACGGATGGACGAACAGCAGAACCTTTGGGTACGGAACCCTAAATAAAATATTCTATTTCAAAATAGTGATAAAAAATTGATGTAGTTTATAAGAAAAATACCAAAAGGTATTTTTTAATATTTTATTATATTTCTTACCATTCACATTATTTCTTAAATCTTACATAATTGCCTTTAAAGGTTTGGCATTAACAAAATTAGAGCTTAAAATATAACTTACCTGTAATTATTCTCTAGATCTATGTGCAATAAGCAGACGGACATACATTGTTTGATTCAAGAGGATAAATTAGAAATTTGTGTAAGCTGAATATTTCAATAATATCGATAAGTACATTTCATAACTTGTGCCGTATAATGTGTATTTTGTTTCTGTATAATAACTCAATAGTGAATAAGTTATGAAGTGATTTGTCCGACAACACGATGTTTGTCATATAAGTGTGTAATTTCTCTGTAAGTGAATTTTTTAATTCTTTTGAGAAATAAATGTCTTAAACCATAAAAATTAAATACTTATGCACATTTCCCGAATAAATGAGATTATATTATTATAGATTTTGCCATTGTGTCAGTGAATTAAGATAAAAAAAAAAACATAAATTAAGGTAAAGCTTGTATCAGTCTATATCACAAAAATATAAATAATGACTTCATATAAATATAATTAAGAAATTATAAAAATTCTTTTAATAATGGGTAGCAACACTGTGTCTTTTATATATATATATATATATATATAGGCTTTTTTATTAATCAACCAAGTGGAGCCATGTACAAAGGCTAGTTAATTATAATAATGAACCAATTGAGATGGTCAAGCTCCATGCTCTGCACATGACAGGATATCCTGCGGGACTCATAAATAAAATAATGGGTAGTTATATCTATTTATATTATAAATGATCAAATTCGCATTGCCATGACCATGATTCCTGGAATACATTTGAATGTCGGGAAGCGAAAATTAAAATAGATCTTCGAAAAAATTTGAAAAGACGCAAACACACACAGAGTGACAGATACACATGAGATTTTTAAAATGATACATGAAAATGTATGTCATTTTGTCTGAATAGATATAAAAATAGATATGTATTGTCCGTTTGCAGTACAAGTACGTCATTTGATTGGTGATGAAACTGACCTTTCAGTATACTTATACTAGCACCATTTATAAACACCAATTCAGTAACAAATCAAAGAATACTATTCCTACCTGTTTTTATTGGTTGTATCAATTTGAATTGCAAGTACATAATAAATTAGCATTAAACATTAAATGATTGCAATTATTTACTGAGAGTCACGAGCCTACCACTATTTCGGAGAAATAATTGCATGAATTTTTGCTTGAAAGAAAATTGCAGGACCAACATTGTATATTGTATCAATTTTAAACTTTAATGTACAATAGACATTCAATAAAAAGTGCGAATGACTACATTGACGGTAACTTTATTAAATGTTATTAAATTTTTAGATATAGTCGCTTTTTAGTATGCTAATTCATTTGGAATATCTTTTTTTTAAACTTAAAATTTTTTTCTTAAAAAACTCATCATCCTGAGTAGCCAAAAATTCTTGTACTGCAGGGACTACTGCTTCATCATTTTCAAATATCTGTCCTCTCAAAGACTCCTTTAACCTTGGAAATAGACAAAAAAGTGATTTCTATCTATTTCTATGGCTGAAGGAGGAAGGAGGAAGTGGGGTAAGGTCGGATGCACATGGAGGATCCTCAATTATTTCGGAGCCAGCATCTCGAATTATTAATAATCTGTGCGCCGTAGCATTATCTTGATGTAACAAAACAATTTTTGCTAGTTTGCTTCGCCGTTTCTCGCGAATTTGATCTGCATATAAAGAGCCCGTAACAGTAGCTCCATGGTCGTGATATTCTTCTATCATGACCCCCTTTACTATCCCAAAAAAAAGAGCCCATGATCTTTCCGGCGGTATGACTCACCTTAACAGCTGTCTTAGAGGTAGGAGACGATGTTTTTTCCAAGTCATAGACTGTAATTTTGTTTCTGGATCGTAATGTTGAAGTTACGTTTCATCCATGGTTGTGAATCGACAAACGAACAAAAAATTATCAGGATCTTTTTGTAACAGTTCCGAAGAAGCTCGAAGAATGTTCAGCCTGGTTTGATTTTGTGCATGGGTAAGCACACTGGGGACCTAGCGCGCGGATATTTTTTCATCCTCAAGTATTCCTGTAAAATGCTATGCACATTTCACACTATTAACGTGACACGGACGTTCTGCTACAACAATGTTGTCGACTTTTTTGACCGTGGGTCATCTTGATGTATGTTCTTCCACGTTTAAATTCAGCGCACCAACGTGCAACTGTAGAATACGGCTTGATTAACTCGTTCCGTAGTGAAATTTTTCATGCACAGATATTTAAAAGGCATTTTTGACAACACGCTACGACAGACTGCAAGAAAAAAACTTCTATTTTTAATAATAAAAGATATTTAAATTATTCTTTTTTTTTAAATCTTAGCAATATTCCAGCTTTACCAGCCTGTATTAAATTTTTCGGTTCTAAAGAGTTTGTACCTCATTCTCACTTTATAATGAACACCCTACGTATGTGAAATCCTAATAGGATACTAATTACTATCACGCTGATATGATAATGGTACTGGCAGGTTTATCTCTTGAAACCAGTCAGTAGTTAAATGGTAAATGCTGGATCCACACAATTGCCATTTGCCGCAATCTTCAAATCTCTATAAATGCACAAACGTGTAGGTACATACATCATAAGCACTTGCTGCAAATTTTCTTTGATTTGTGTACAAAAATCGACACGATCGGAACGGCCCCAAATGTTTGCGAACGTGTAGACCGGCATAACACAAACATTACGAGTGATACAAAACCGACGGTATGAAAATCCGACTCGCGCTTGACAGATTTTTGTATTTTTTACATAACATTCACTTCAAATCACTTAGAAAAAATATAGGAAATAATGAAAGACCATGAAAATAATTATCTTCCTTAGTATTGAATTGTTTATGTGCATATTAGAAAATAATACTATTACATTACATATACAGTAGTATGTACTTCTGTCACGTGGAAACTGCGTCATTTCTATTCTCGTTATTATGAATATTGTTATTTAACAGCATTAGGTTAAAAGGAGATTGTATTATATATACCTAGTAAACTAGCAGAATCCGCGGCTTCGCTCGTGCTAAAACTATAAAAAACTTACAAAGTAGTTTTCATACAAACTTTCATCCCCTGTTTTACCCCTTATGGGATGAATTTCGAAAAATGTTAAAACACGTATTTATTTAATTGTATTGAAGAGCTAATAATATCAAGTTTCAAGTAATTCTGATTATAGATAATTTATTGGGTTGTATTATAACGTGTTTTTCCATCGTTTTTTTTTACCTAATATAATATATATACATAAACTAGCGAACAAAATCAGTCCAACCGTTTCAGAGATTATCCGGAACAAACAGACAGACAAAAATGTTAAAAATAGTTTTTTTTCTTATAAGTACCGTATATAGTTACAAATAGGTACATTTAGTAAAACGCAGTTATTTTGATATTACAAACAGACACTTCAATTTTATTTATCTGTGTAGATGTAACAATCGTACGAAGTAAGAATAATCGCAACAATGCAATTTAAAAGGTTGATTGTTTTGAAATTGTTCAAGGAAAGCTACTTGCAAGTTTGCAAAATTTTTATATTATGTATTGGCTACAACCATGCCTTACTTAATACCTACGCGACTGCCGCGAAGACCACAAGTGGGGTATGTGTTTGATGTATATATTACTAGCAGAACCCGCGGCTTCGCTCGCGCTAAAACTACAAAAAAAACTCTAAAGAGGTAGTTTCATACAAATTTTCATCCAGTATTTTACCCCCTTATAAGATAAATTAAAAAAAATGCTAAAGCACATATTTATTTAATTTTATTGAAGAATATTAATACCGAGTTTCAAGTAATTCTGATCATATATTTTTTTTGGATTGTATTATAACGTGTTTTCCCGTGGGAATTAGATAATTTTCCGCGGTAAGAAGTAGCCTAAGTCTCTCTCCAGCCCTCCAACTATCTCCACACAAAAAATCACGCCAATGCGTCATTCCGTTTCGACGTGAAAGAAGGACAAACAAACACTTTCACATTTATAATATTAGTATGGATATGGATGTATGTATGTAGTACGTACTAGATATGTAT